CGATGTTTAAAAAAAATTCAACTGCAATTTTGAGGGGGGTTGTAGGTTGAGGTGTGACGTCATTTTAGGGGGGGGGGGGTCTGGCTTTTTGTGACGATGTGTGACGGAGGGGAGGGGGGGAGGTAAAAATCGTCAAAAAAGCGTAATGTCATTTATGGATGACCCCCTATATATATATATATATATATATATATATATATATATATATATATATATATATATATATATATATATATATATATATATATATATATATATATATATATATATATACTTTGTTTCTTGCTGGGGGGGGTGACACCCGACCTAGCGACGCCACTGACCTATTGGCCGGGAACGTCTCCTATATAGGCCTAAATAAATAATATAAACAATAATCAAGGTGAAAAAAACACGTAGATAGTGGGCACACAACTTTATTATTTAAAGGAAAACGGCGTAGCCAATGTGCTTACAATTCAACAATAAATTATCTAAAAATTAGAGAAGAATTTATAAATTTTTATTGTAGTGTCAGCAACTGAGCTAGAAATAATGTTATGTATGATAGCACAGGGTCTAAGACATTACCCACCTGCTATTACCCTAATCCTAACCCGCAGTAGAATTCTCCCTTCCCTCACACCCCCACTCCAAAGTAGCCATTTCCCCAGGTTGCTATCACTTTACGAGACTTAGTAACTGGAGAAAGCATGCAGGATAAAAACAAAAACATACAAATAATAACTTGATAGAGACAACAGCTAACTAAGCCCGCCCATTTACCGATAATTTGATAAATAAAATTGGTATCAAATTTAAGGTAAGTAAATGTAACTGTTTAAGTTATCTTGAACAATAATAAAGTTTAAAATCTTAAGCGACACCCTATCGTAAGTCCAAACCTTGTGTTAGGAAGTTAGTGTTACTGGAATCTACATGTTGATAATCTGGAAAATTTCATTTCTGAGATTGCGAGGGTTTTACAGTATTTTAGAGATATTCCGAATAATGAAATGAATACCCAAATAAATGCTCTTTTAAGGATTTATAATTGTGTATGATATCTAGACAGTACATATCATGTTTTTTTAAAATTATAAAACTGATGACACGCTATCGTTTTTTAATGTGGTCTACTCGACTCCAGTGTTTCTTCCAGACTTTTTTCTCCGGGGGGGGGGGGCACTTGAAATTTTCGGGGGGGGGGGGCGGTAGACTTTCTTCGGGGGGGGGGGGGGCGGACACTGTTAAAAGTATATATTTTCTATATAAATTATATAAATTTCATTTCGTTCGGGGGGGGGGGGGGGGGGGGGGGCGGTTAAAAATTTTCGGGGGGGGGGGGGGCTTAGCCCCCCCCGAAGAAATGCCTGGAAGAAACTCTGCTCGACTCTACTCAATTCTACTAGTTAAAACAGCAAATCAGAAAAATATGAGCTTGCAATAGCTGGAGTTATGGATTTATTATAGTGTGTGTGTGTGTGTGTGGGGGGGGGGGGGGGTACATTACATTAAGCTTTAGGGTCTATATACGATATAATAATAAACTTTATTTTGAAACTGTTACAGCCCTAGGCATGGAGGCCATTTTACACATTGGTCGTTATCAGATGCGTAGCGACCCTTCCCGGCGCCCGGGGACAAACTTTCAGATAAAATGAGCTTTTAATTTTTGTTCAACCCATTTTGGCGCCCCCTAGAGCGGCGCCCGGGGACATATGTACTCCCCTGCCCCCCCCCCCCCCCCCATTCGCTACGCCCCTGGTCGTTATTTAAGAAAGAAAAACAGTAACGACATTTAAATGAAATATTATAGACATAGGCAGTAATTATATATGGAATAAAGAAATAATATTAACATATTTATATTTATATCACCTAGTTAACTAGAATGATAATACTATTTATAGAATAGATAAATGATGCGATGACTCAGTTTAAATTTAAGCTTAAAAGATCATGAAATAGTTGTTTTTTAAAGTTTTGTTTTAAGTATTTTTTCAAATACAGGTAATTTTTATTTTATTAGGAAGATTATTTTACCAATTTCCACCAGAGTAGGATATTAATGGGATATGTCTTTAGGATATGTCTTTAGGATATGTCTTTAGGGAAAAAAAATGTAGATCTAGACGGGATGGGTTAACTAAGATGGGATGGGCAGAGGCGTAGTGGGGGTGGGATGCGGACCGCACATGCTGAAACAATTTAGGGGGCGACACCATGACGTAAACCTGCCAATGATAGAGAAAAAAAAAAGGGGGGGGGGGGGGGGGGGAGTGGAGGGAAGTTACATTAACTCAATGTTGCATAATATGCCTGAGGGAAACGTTTTGGTTGAGAATCGTAATAACTTATGTGTTAATCCATGTATGGGGGGGGGGGGGTAAAAAAATTAAATACATAAAAAATGTGCATACATATACACATGCGTATATACATACTTATATATATATATATATATATATATATATATATATATATATATATATATATATATATATATATATATATATATATATATAAGCAAAGTGGTCGCTCCCGGCGCCACAGACGCTTCAAATTTGGTTGGCAGGCTCCTGTCATCGGGCAATAGAACACGGGGGCCGGTGCTGTATGGCTGGAAAGTTCACGAAGAGAGGGTCAAAACTGACCTCGACTGACCGGCGCCTTATATGAGCTATATTACGAAAAAAACTTTAGCCGAACGACCCCCCCTTGATATTTGTGAGGTGGTAGAAAAACACCTAGGGGTTTCAGAAAAAAACTCGTCATATTCGGTAAAATTCTGCAAAGTCGTCAAAACTGACCAGTCGTATTTCCCTATATAATCTTTGTAATTTATGGGAAAAACAGAGGGTAATTGCAACACATATTTTAGGGCACTTACAGTCTGTACATCCAACTAATTTTTTGCATGGACCTAGGTAAATGGCTAGGCCGTATGGAAAAACTGTTAAAATGACTGAAAGCCCTCCACGAGGGCTAAGAAATGACCGCGATTAAAATTATCCTTATATATATATATATATATATATATATATATATATATATATATATATATATATATATATATATATATATATATATATATATATATATATATATATATATATAAATTGACAAACGATCCCCCTAATATTTTGTGAGGTCGTAGACCTACCCTGGAGGGTAACAAAAAAAATTATTCCCGTCGGAAAAACCTTAGGGTGAAAAAGTAAACAAAGACTACGTCATTTGGTATATGTACAGGGGAGGTAACTTTGTAAATAATAATTTTAAAATAATTTATTTTTACTATTTTTAAGAAAAAACAAAAGACACAAAGTATAGCATTCGTTAAAATAGATATTTCTTTATAAATTAAGTTATTTATTGTACTGAAATTGTAAAAATTAATTGCGAAAGTGAATTTAATATAATATTATATTTATACTATTAAGGAAGCCTCTGCAGTTCTAATAACCTGCGAGTAATAACTGTGCGAATACTCCTCTAATGCTTGCATGACATGAAAGCACTCCAACTGTTTAAGCTTAGGGCCTAAGCACTCCACATTTCAGCCAATCACCAGTTATTTAATCATTCAAATTCTCAAAAGTTTTTTGAAAACCTAAGCTAAGCCTAGTATATATATATATATATATATATATATATATATATATATATATATATATATATATATCTTACTGGGGGTGACACCATTAAGGGCCGCACCGAGTGACACCCGACCTCGCTACGCCACTGGGGTTGGGTAAACTAAGCTGACGATTTAATTTTGTATTGTAAGAAAATAGAGATCTGTGTCAGGGGTCTGATCCCTAAACTATTTTCTTTATATGTTGCTTTAAAAATATTTTTAGAAAATGGTGTTCAAACCAGGTTTATAACCAACCCTAGGCATACAGATCTAGATGAAGGTTAGACATTAACTATTAATAACTATACTAAAACTACGTAGTACTCATATCTAGTACTAATGTTAGGCTTCTCTCTTCTTTTGATTGTTTAGTTTTTGCCCAACAAAGTAGCCTCCGTGCACATGGATCATCTTTTTATATATGTTCCACCTTTTGGTCGTCAAGGGTAGGCATGTCGTTAGGCGAGAGGGGGGGGGGGGACGACACTTAGTAGATGACATCCGGGTCATCATGTTGGTCAAGATAGATGTGAGCGGGTGAATGGACGATTTATTTTGTATTATCTTTTTTTGTGCGAGTCTGTGCGTGAATGGTCCACTGAACAGCGGCTACGGGGTTTCCCCTTCCGCCCGAAGCGGTCAGTATAAAAACTGACCGCTTGGATAATTTCTTTCTTTTTGACCCGAGGCGAAATGTAGATCGGGTCAGCTTCTGTGTGGGTGCGTGGCGCACCTCATGCGTGAAGTGAGGTTGCTTGTGCAACTTGGCTGGGTGTTTTGTTTAGTCGTGTTTTGTCCCGTTGTGTTTTGTTTAGTCGTGTTTTGTCCCATTGTGTTTTGTTTAGTCGTGTTTGGTGTATATTGTTTTGTATATCACGTTAAAAAGCTACTCTGTTTTTGGCCTGGGATTGATGTAGATCTTGTTTTTATTTACATTCTTTTTTTTGGTTCCAATTTAATTCATGCAATAAATTCTGTATAAACTGTTACAAGTTTTTGTGTGTTTATTCTAGACTAAGGTTAGGTTATTAACCAGTCTGGGTTTAGCCGGACTTGCACTGACCGGACAGTAGTTAAAATACTCCTAGAAGGGTAGATTTTTAGTAACCCCCCCTCTCCCCCCCCCCCCAGCAGGGCTTACATAGATATATTCGTCATCATCAGCATTCGTCATCATCAACATTCGTCATCATCAACATTCGTCAGCATCAACATTCGTCATCATCAACATTCAGTCATCATCAGCATTCGTCATCATCAACATTCAGTTATCATCAACATTTGTCATCATCAACATTCGTCATCATCAGCATTCGTCAGCATCAATCATGTCTCCATCCGTTGAAAAAAATATCAATATTCAGCCAACAATCATGTCTCAATCCCTTATTTTTATAAAAATCAACATTTAGCCGTTAATCATCAATTGGTCTCAAAGATTAAAATCTGGAGTAAACATGTAGAGATAATTGCAGCATTCTTCTGATTGCACGTGCTTTTCTTCTGATTGCGCGTGCTTTTCTTCTGATTGCGCGTGCTTTGCATGAAACTATTCCAGCAAGTGGAAGTATTGAATCAATTAGGGTATCCCTGCGTAGGGTTACACAAGATTCAAGGACTCAAACGTTCTTAAAACCAAGTAGAGCAATATTCCAAAGATCAGAGTGTTGTACTGGTCCAACATTTGAATGGCCGAGTTGTGCTGCTGATGTGGTCCAACATTTGCCTTGTCTGTCGCCCAAGTACCTGAACAAAAAAATATCTCAAATCAACCTACGTGGAACATTCATAAATTTATATTTAAATTTAATTATATTTGAATACTAGCAGCACACCAAGTTGACACACAAAAGATCAATTGGTCTAGCGACCTTGGCATCTAATTGTTTACACAATCCCGTTTAGGTAGGAGTGATTCAAATTGGGGTCGGCGTGGTCGAGTCGGTAAAGCTCATGGTTGCTTAACCGAAACGTTTCGAGTTCGAACCTTCGGGCAGATGAGGCTCGTTAGCTGGGGACAGCCACTCTTCTAGGCGAGACAACTCCAAAATTAAACAACTGCTGCCTTGTAGTTTGTTCTTGGTTAGACAAAGGCTATGGAAGCAAATCCAAAAAGAAAAGCAGGCTGAAATCGGAGTCAATGACCTCAATGGCGCATAACCAGTTGACACGTATCCTTAATTGTGTTGGAGGCGTGGTCGAGTCGGCAAAAAGCTCATGGTTGATAAATTCGAAAAAAAATCTCGAGTTCAAACCCACTGGCAGATAAATCTCGTTCCCTTTCAACACAAAAAATTAAGAAGGAAGAAGAAGAAGAAGTTTAATGAAAATAAAAGTTGTAGGTTTAAATGGCGAAATATACAGGAGAATAATATTTACTTTACAACTTCTATTACTCGAAGAGTATAAATCTAGGATAAACTTGTTACACCCCTGATATTATAACTAGAGTGCCTTTAAAATCGTGCTTGATAATAACGTATCTTTTAAAAATCATAATTATACGAAAATTTGATTCAGCTAACACTATTTGATTCAGATAACCCTATTTGATTCAGATAACACTATTTGAAACATGAGCCGGATCAGTAGGTCTACACATTTTTTCTATAAATTTAGATTAAAGCGCCTTTTGTCAGCTGCTAGACGGCTCCCACATACACTCACATTTTCCAGCCTGTTTTGTTAACATTATAGGGGGTGGGGGAGTTTTGAAGTTTTTCCATGTTTTTGGCCTTTGGTAATTAAAATGGCTTGTCATAACATAATTTAAAGACGGTTAGGAATGTTTTCATTGATTGCTAGGGTTAGCCTATAATACAGGTTGTCTGAATGCTTGTGAGTGAGATCTAGTTCACATTGTAGACCCTTTACAGTAGTATTTTAAAAAATATTTTAGTTACCACTGCGTGACGCGATCTGATGCGATATGAAGAGAAAATTTAAATTGCTGGCTTTTTTTTAAAGGTGGGACTATCATTTGTCACAATTCGGCTAATATTTCTATTTTGCTTTCTCGTATACAAAATATAGAGAAAACATTGCAATCGTGCAAAAAATCGACGTTTTCTATGTCCCTGGGTTCGGCGTGATGGAATCGGTAAAGCTCATGGTTGCTAAACCGCAGAGTCTCGAGTTCGAAACCTCGTGCAGATGAGGCTCGTTAGCTGGGGACAGCCATTCTTCTAAGAGAGACAACTCCAAAATCAAACTGTCACAGACTGTATTATTAGGTATCTTTATTATATTGTGTTTTACATGAAGTTGCATGAATGTAGAGTACCTGGCTAGCGGAAGGACTGTCTGAGCGACTTGTCATGTATTTTTCCATGCTTTTGGGTGAGATCGCTCATTGACGTAAGGGGAGATAATGGACCGTATGAAAAGGGAGCGAAAGGTGAACGAAAGGGGGCTTGGATTGTGGCTGTGAATATGAAGTAGGATGTCACCACGTCACTTTGATTCGTGATTGTACTTGTACCAGTTGTTTATCTTCTACTATGGATTTACTATGGATTTATCATTTCACTGTATAAAGTGTAAATAAAGTTTATGGTTTAAAGTTACTACTATTGCTCGTGTTCTTGTATCAAAACGAACCCACAACAACAAGGGATATTACTGTTGTTACACAAACGACTGCTGCCTTGTAGTTTGTTCTTGGTTGGACAAAGGCTATGGAAGTAATCCAAAAAGAAAAGCAGGCTGAAATGGGAGTCAATGGCCTCAATGGCACATAACCAGTTGATACATTGACTTAATTGTGTCGGAGATGTTCAACATAAAAAAAAGGCGGAGGTTTTTTCGAGTTTCTATGACAACAAAAATTGTTTTCCACCTTTTTTTTTCTATTTAATACTTAATTTCATGTGCCAAACATGACAAACGTATTCAAAAAGATTCAGATCTAAAATTATAAAAAATAGACAAAAAAAAAAACCGGAGCATAATATACCCTAAATACAATAGATGATCAGCTGATTATCTTTTGCTTTTCTTTGTGTTAGACTAAGGTTAAGGGTTTAACCAGTCTGGGTTTAACCAGTCTGGGTTTAACCAGTCTGGGTTTAACCAGTCTGGGTTTAACCAGTCTGGGTTTAACCAGTCTGGGTTTAACCAGTCTGGGTTTAACCAGTCTGGGTTTAGCAAGTCTTGCACTGGCGCCCGATAGTAAGGTAGTTCTTAGGGGTAGTTTGATATTTTGGGTTTTAGACACATCCTCCCCCGACAAAGCATATATATATATATATATATATATATATATATATATATATATATATATATATATATATATATATATATATATATATATATATATATATAACAACAATCTGTTGGTCAGACACTCATGTACACACATCCTTACATTCCATGGAGTTGTGTAACTGTGCGGCAAGTACATGGAAAAGTTAATACTTTTAGTTTCAGAGATTGACACACTTACAATATTCACTAAAAGTTAATTTAAAGAGGATATCTGTTGGAATCCTTACCTCTGCGTACATTGCTTGATCCCGCTGAAAGTGAAAAAAGTGGTCAAGTTTAGTATAGGACATGCCTAAAGTGTAAACGCCTTGTTAGTTTAAAAAAATAAATTGTTTTGCAGTTTTTTTTCGGCATGTCTCTCCCTCTCTGTCTCTCTCTCTCTGTATGTATGTAAACACGATAACTTGAGTACCGTTTCGGTTAGCTTGACAAAATTATATAAATAAATTAATAAATTAATTAAAATTAATTAATTAGATAAATAAACAAACAAACAAAAATACAAACATACAAACAAACAAACAAACAAAAATTATATATATAGGCCTATATATATATATATATATATATATATATATATATATATATATATATATATATATATATATATATATATATATATATATATGTATATGTATATATATATATATATATGTATATATATATATATATATATATATATATATATATATATATATATATATATATATATATATATATATATATATATATATATTTATTTATACATATATATACATATACATATATATATATATACATATATGTATATATACATATATGTATATATACATATATGTATATATACATATATGTATATATACATATACATATATGTATATATATGTATATATATATATATATATATATATATATATATATATATATATATATATATATATATATATATATATATATATATATATGTATACATATATGTAGTTTCATTTTTATTTTGAGCGGTTTCCGGAAACAGGATATGGTACTTACTCAAATGCCTGTTTTTCAAAAATGATAACTTTAGTACTGTTTAAAGTAGTAGTACGAAATTTTATATAGAAGCATTCAATTGTACGCTCATGTGTTTAAAAAAAACAATTTTGAACAATTTTCGTCTACTTGAAGTGGAAACACGACAACTTTAAAACAGTTTAGGTTAAGCAGACGATATTTCATTTATAAGTATTACTAGCCATCGGTACCCGTTTTACGTGAATTATAGGCCTATATATTTTAAAATGTTGTACTTGTTTGAGAAAAATAATTTATGAAATAGTTATTGGTCAAAACACAGTGTGCTTTACTACACGCTGAATGATATTAGTGACAAAGCAAAGAAATATTTAATTAGCTAAAAATCTGACACATTTAACATAACACAGGTACACACTGATTAAGTGACTTAAATGATTCCGTTAAAAATCTGGCTATTCAAAGGTCATTATAATGTTTTTAAGTAATTTGTATTAGTTTGACCGATAAAATTGTATATATTTCATAGCGTACGTCTTGATGAGTAGATCTATAGATCTAGATCTAAATCAAATTTGAATGAAGTAGTTCCTTTCTTTATAGTCTAAAATCGGAAGATTCACATATAAAAAAAATTAAGTTTGACGTGGTGTGTCTTGGTATTAAGTACACTATCATCTCAGCTATTTAGGCACCTTATAAACAACGGAGAATGAAAGACAAATGTTTTTGGAATAGATTCTAGAGTAGATAGAGTCTAAATCTAGATCTTAGCGTCTACGTCTAGTTTTGCGTAGATTTAGATCTAGCCTAGATCTAGAATTTCTAGATCTAGAATCCAAATAAATAAAATAAATTCTATAAGTTTAGATAGGAAAAATTGTATTGTATACTTTCATAGCGTACGTAGATCTAAATAAAATTTGAATGAAATAGTTCATTTCTTTTTATTCTAAACTCGGCAGATGACGTCATTATTTAATGTATAAACATTAGTGACGTCATTGTTTCATGGATTCTTTTTCACAACTATAAACACTTTTCCTGTTGCATAATTAAAACTGTTTTTCTACATTCGAATATGCCTTTATCTTTTATTCTTCTTCTTTAAATAAAATGTTGGTTAGAGGTCATCCATAAATGACGTCACGCTTTTTTGACGATTTCTACCTCCCCCCCTCCCCTCCGTCACACGCAGGGGCGGAACTACAGTGCCGCCAGACCCCGCAATGCGGGGGGGCCCAGACCAATTGGGGGCCCAAAAATCCTGGCTAAATTATTAAAAAAAAAAAAAATAAATAAATTAGGTGGAGGTCGAGTTATCTTTCTTCTACAGTTACAAACAAACACGATAGTCGGCAAACGTCTTTGAGAAAAATGCACTGACTATAGCTCGAGAGACCGCCAGACATATAGACAACTTCAAAGACGAAGCATCTGCCGGTACGCTTTGAAATCGGGCTGGGGAAATGTTGCGGCGAGGCGACTATCCTGGTCTTCTAGACGATCGGAAAAAGTCGGCACTATTGATGTAGATGTTTATCGGCGCTTTCTTGTCCCCTTCCCTTCCCAACTCTCTCCCCCCCCCCTCCCCCCTACCCCTCACTTCTACCCCTCACCACACCCTTACTCTTACAATAAGATGTAATGCATAGATTAACGAACCGTCTATGAACTGTAAACTGACCACTTCTGCACATTTTGTTAAAAACACTAGTCAGTAGTTGTTCATTTACCTGATGAACAGGGGCGGAACTACAGTCCCGCCAGACCCCGCAATGCGCGGGGGGGGGGGGGGGGGGGAGGCCGTTTAGGGGCCCACGGCTGACCAAATTTTTTTTTTTTTTAATTTTGAATTTAATTTTTGCCTTAATATTTGGTTTGTAAAAGAAAAACACTGTAGCTGCGGTACGATTATCTTTATTTTACAGTCACTATACCACGCTCTTCCGCAAAAGATAAAATCCATTACACAAACTACAGTGTAAAATTTAATGTGATTTTTGTGCACGATTACAAGACTTTCTCTATACTTCGTATATACGAGAAAGTAAAAACATTGTTATATTGTTTACATTATTAAAACACATATCTATGATTATGTGTTTAAACTACTGGCCTGAATTCTACAAAAAATATAATTATTTATTTCGATCTCATACATTTATAATTGCGTTCATTTTTACTTTAACAACTGTATCAATAAACTTGTAAAAGTATAAGTTATTTCCCTTCAGCGAAGCATTTGAAATTTGACTTTGCCGGCACGCTTTGAAATCGGGCTGGGGAAATGTTGCGGCGACCGGCGAGTCGGCGACTATCCTGGTGCTCTAGACGACCGGATAAAGTCGGCACTATTGATGTAGATGTTTATCGGCACTTTCTTGTCCCCTTCCAATGAACCTTCCCAACTCTCTCCTCTCCCCTATCCCTCACCTCTACCCCTCACCACACCCTTACTCTTACAGTAAGATGTAATGCGTAGATTAACAAACCGTCTATGAACTACTGTACTGTACCACGCTCTTCCGCAAAAGATAAAATCCATTACATTACTCTTCAAATTTTGAATGACTTCTTTGACTCGTTGCCCCCCCCCCCCCCTCCCTTTGATAGCTAAATAGAGGACACGTAACTGTTTGACCGATCCTCCAAAGTATACAGTGGCGGATGGGGCAGGGGATGGGGACCAAAAAGGGGGTTAAAAAATTGTCGACAAATTCTTTACATATTTAAAACAGTTATTTATAGTTGTATTTTTTAACCATCGTCAAGGCCGAGTTCTATTTCCCTACAATCAAACACACGCTGTCGCCGGCAAAATTCTTTTTAAAAAAAAAAACAAAGTCCATAGCACGAAAAGCCGCTACATATGAAGTGGGCTTTCAATACTATCATGATGCGCGGTGCTTATTCGCGGCATTGGTAGGGGACCCGAAATCCATTGTACATTTTTCAATGTTAATATATGTTTGTGATAGTGGTTGAATTTGTATCCTGTACTATCTTGTATCGTACAAATAATTTTTAAAAAATAATATAATACTAGAAACTTCAGTTTTATATACGTTTACTTGTTTTTGATTTTACAAGAAATATAGTAAACTTTTAAGGCCTATACTTCAAATTATCTCCCCTGAGTAAGTTTTACAATGGGCGATGCTGACGTACATAGATCAAGGCGTTTTGTTGTCCCTTTCAAGTTTTTTTCCCGAGCCGACCCCTATCCCATCCCTCTTTCTCAACCTCACAAGTATCGAGGAGATAAATGTATCGTTTATGAACTACTTCCTAACCGTACGATTCACCACTTCAGCACATTTTGTCAGACACTAGACAGCACTAGATCTAGTCAACACATATTAATTTACTTTCATAGTATTAGGCAAATCTAATTCACAAAACAGGGCAGGTAAGATTATTTTTTATATAATTATTTAGAAATTAATTAGAACGTTTAGAATTAATTGAACATTATTAATAGTCATTGAGGTGGGGGTGTGTGAGGGTCTGGCTTTTTGTTAATCCCCCCCTCCCCTAAATCAGAAGGTTATCCAACGCGTGACCTGGCCACATACAGTTGTACAAGTGAAAAACATTTTTCTCTCTAATATTATTATGCATTACTGCATCATTCACCCAATCGCCATGAAAACTTGGGAAGCTGTTGAGTACAGCCCCGCAAAGGTTTCTGTCATAGGCCTAACATTTGTACATATTTGAGTGGGGACTCCTAACGGAAATATGTGATTTAGCGCCCCGTGATACTGCATAAGTGGATGAGGTTACTACTTGAATACAACCGGCGTCAGTGTCATCCTGAGCGCATCACATATGAGCAAGTTGGCCCCTACAGACAGTCGTTTAAAAGTTCCCACAACACTAGGAATAAGTCTCGCTACAACACTCGATGACTAAATCTAATTAGGTGTCGCACCAATGTTTCTTCCAGGGTAGACTGTTTTCGGGGGAGGGGAGGGGGGGGGGGGAGCTCTGCCGGAAGAAACAATGTGTCACACCCATCACCCGTGCAGTAATGTAACCGGTAGCTCCAAGAGCCCCGTGACTCCCCTGACACCTGGGCCGTCGCAGAGGGATTTACAGCATGCCTTGGCGTGTCTAGTTGGTAGTGTGGACAAACCCGCGCCCTAAGATCCAAGAAATGAACTGCCGACATTGTTAAGATTTAATTCAACTTCTGGAAAACAGGGCACACGGTTAGTAACGTTTTGATGAAAGCCTCAGTTTGGTGTGTTGGACTAGATTTAGAAAGGGGCCAGCTCGTGTGTTGGAAAACCTCTGATTTATTCGTGTACCAGATGTAATTTTTTTTTAATTGAGAGCGAACCTTGTTTTATATATATATATATATATATATATATATATATATATATATATATATATATATATATATATATATATATATATATATATATATATATATATATATATATATATATATATAATATAATATATATATATATGGGGGGCCCAAAAATGTTTTTTGCGGGGTGGCCCATTTTTTCTAGTTCCGCCACTGGTCACACGTAGTCACAAAAAGCCAGAACCCCCCCCCCTAAAATGACGTCACACCTCAACCTACAACTACAACCCCCCCCCCCCTCAAAATTGCAGTTGAATTTTTTAAAAACATCGATATTTTTCTAAAATCTTGTCTAACCTATTACAATTTATTAAAACAGTTATCTAAAACGCGAAATAACGTCTAAAATTCGTTTTCTAACATTGTTTTTTTATAACGCAAAAGTGTGGCGTAGGCCCATCTGAAACCCCCCCCCCCCCCTCCCCCTCATCAAACATCGTCACAAAATTACGGCCCCCCCCCCCTCCTCCCTACGAGTGTGACGTCATTTATGGATGACCCCTTATACATTTAAAACATCTACCATATTATTTTCAACAAAAGTCCGTAGTATCAAGTTCTCCATATATCGCTGAAGATTCTGATGTGATACCCTGCGAAAATATTTTGCGGACAGAGAGAGAGAGAGAAGTGCGCACATGGGCTTTTATATATTAGGATATCTCATACAGTGATTATTTTAAAATTTGGATTGACTTCAGTCAACTTCAGTCAACTCCCAGTTTCTAAAATACTGACAGCTTGACTACCGTGGACAAAATTTTAAATAAAAGATTTTGTACGTACATTTCCATCAACATTTGTGCTTTCTGGAAATATTTCCGATTTCACTTAAATATCAAAGTTTGATAATATTGTATTATCATAAACTATTTTCTGGGAACTTTTTACCCGTATGTATTTTTTTTTCAAAATAAATAAATAAATAACAATAAATAAATAAGAATGAGCTATTCTATCACAAACTACAATAAATGTAAAACTATTGAAACATGTCGAAAAAGAGCCAGGTGCTTACCATTTAGAACATGAACTCTAATGCTTGTGATAGACAGGTTGCTACTGCGACAGACATATGTGCCTGCATCGTCCATCTGACTGTGTTCAATGTCCAGCACGCTGACCAGTGTACGAGTAGAAGGCACGTAGAATTTATCCATTTTAATTTGCCGGACACCATCCGGTGAAATCTTGATCCCGTCTTTAAACCAATCCAAACTATCTGGGCTCGAATCAATTCCACTTGAGTTACAGATTAGATGAATTATGTCCCCTTTTTCTACAAATTTTGAGCCGGACATAAAAATACCTGAAATATTTTCTTTTGTTTACAATTTTAAAGATTTTTAAAAACCTTAGTAAAGTCCAAGGTTTAAATTAAACCGACACCTTATCCCAAATTCTTAGCTTAAACCCCAAGAGACAATGCTAATAATAAGCATAATACTTTATAACTGGATCACTTTCTATAACATCGATTGTATATTTAAAATTTCTGAATTATTTTTGGGCTTAAGTATATTTATTTTTATTATATTTTCGGTCGCTTTGATTGCAAAATCTAAAAAAAAAAGTTTTTTTAAACAATGTCAATAATAATGATGGAAGGATTCTTGTCAACTCGGTAATATCCGTTAGTGCGCAAATATTTTTACTTTCTCGCAAACAGAGTAAAGAGAAGTATTGTAATCTTGCACAAAAATCACATGAAATTTTGATAGTTTTCATATATATATATATATATATATATATATATATATATATATATATATATATATATATATATATATATATATATATATATATATATATATATATATATATTAGCCGTCCCGGCCAGGCCCTGCTCTGGCTTCTGTGATAAACCTTTCTGTTAAAGACCATTCCCTGTGTGTTTATTAATCATCATAAACCCGGCATTGCCCACCCAAAGCACAACCAACCAAAACCTAAACAGTAAAACGCAAACATAACGCTAACACAATTACAAATACAAACGAAAACAAAAATCTGACAACAAACCCAACCACAACCACAAACACCAATACAAACACAAAGAAAAAACAAACAAAAAAGCAAACGAAAACAAAAACCTAACAACAAACCCAACCACAACCACAAACACCAATACGAACACAAAGAAAAAAAACGAAAACAAACAAAATCCAAACGCAAAACTAACCACAAACACAAACCCAAAGAAAAAACAAATGAAAAAGCAAACGAAAACAAACCAAATCCAAACGCAAAACCTACCACAAACACAAATACAAACCCAAAGAAAAAACACAAACGAAAACGAAAAAAGAAAGAACAAAAACGAACCAAAACGCAACCACTAACGCAAACCCAACCTAAACACATAGAAAACACTAACGCGTACATAAACGCAAAGTGCTCACAGTCTAGCCCGGGGCGGAATCGCCTGTTTCAGCTTAATAAACGACTATAGTACCCCAATTTATTCATAGTCTTTTGCACTCACTTAAACGAACGTAGGCGCCAAACCGAATACGGGAGGCCCGGGGCCTCAAATAGCACCCTGTCTGTGCACCAGAGGACGTCCGGATTCGATTCACTTAAAGACCATAGTAACCTTTTTTATCCATACTCTATCGCACTGTTTAAAGCAAAAGTATGCACCATAGCGCTCACAGCATTGCCCAGAGCGCCAAATTGAACCCTGGTGGGGCGCCGGCGGACGCGCCTGTTTCAATTTAATGAACAATTATAATACTCCAAGCTTAACCGTAAAATACCTACAACATTTGCACTTGATCAATCCCCGCTAATTATGTAATTATTTTTTTCCCAACACCAAAACAAAGTAATAAAAAGTAAATTCTTTTCCACTAATGCAATGTTTTATAAAGGGAAGTAATTGTGTTTTCCTAACTTATCAAAGGGAAGTAAGTGCTAACTGACTAAATATAAATAATAAATGTTGTAGGTATTTTACGAATAAGCTTGGAGTATTATAATTGTTCATTTGGTTTGGTTTGGCACCTACGTTCGTTTAAGTGAGTGCAAAAGGCTATGAATAAGTTGGGGTACTATAGTCGATTATTAAGCTGAAACAGGCGATTCTGCCCCGGGCTAGACTGTGAGCACTTTGCGTTTATGTTCGCGTTAGTGTTTTCTTTGTGTTTAGGTTGGGTTTGCGTTAGTGGTTGCGTTTTGATTTGGTTCGTTTTTGTTCTTTCTTTTTTCGTTTTCGTTTGTGTTTTTTTCTTTGGGTTTGTGTTTGTATTTGTGTTTGTGGTTGGTTTTGCGTTTGGATTTGGTTTGTTTTCGTTTGCTTTTTCGCTTGTGTTTTTTTCTTTGTGTGCGTATAGGTATTTGTGGTTGTGGTTAAGTTTGTTGTTAGGTTTTTGTTTTCGTTTGCTTTTTTGTTTGTTTTTTCTTTGTGTTTGTATTGGTGTTTGTGATTGTGGTTGGGTTTGTTGTTAGGTTTTTGTTTTTGTTTGTATTTGTAATTGTGTTAGCGTTATGTTTGCGTTTTGTTGTTTTGGTTGGTTGTGGTTTGGATGGGTAATGCCGGGTTTATGATGATTACTAAACACACAGGTAATGGTCTTTAACAGAAAGGTTTTTCACAGAAGCCAGAGCAGGGCCTGGCCGGGACGGCTAGTATAAAGCTCAATTCTGTATGTAACATTTAAAAAGTTTGTTTGTCGTGGACATACTTAGATGGATTTAAGTGTTAGATTATTATCATACTCATAGTCTACATTTATGAGTTAAAAAATTACTATTGAAAGTGTTGGGAAATAATTTTCATTTTTCAAACTGATAGTAATAATTGTCTGCATGTTCATTAAATACAATTTTTAAAAAAATATCATCTTTTACAAAAATTCTAATTATGTCTGAAAATTATTTATATTTAGTCAGTTAGCACTTACTCAATCCCCGCTAATTATGTAATTATGTAATTATTTTTTCCCAACACCAAAGCAAAGTAATAAAAAGTAAATTCTTTTCCACTAATGCAATGTTTTATAAAGGGAAGTAATTGTGTTTTCCTAACTTATCAAAGGGAAGTAAGTGCTAACTGACTAAATATAAATAATTTTCAGACATAATTAGAATTTTTGTTCTTTTTTTAAAATTGTGTTTATTTAACATGCCGACAATTATTATTATCAGTTTGAAAAATGAAATTTTTTTTTCCAACACTTTCAATAGTAATTTTTAAACTCATAAATGTAGACTATGAGCACGGTAATAGTCTAACACTTAAATCCATAAAAGTATGTCAACGACAAACAAACTTTTTACATGTTACATACAGAATTGAGCTTTATATATGATATATATATATATATATATATATATTATATATATATATATATATATATATATATATATATATATATAGATGTATATATATAGATGTATATATATATGTATATATATATGTATATATATATATGTGTATATATATATATATATATATATATATATATATATATATATATATATATATATATATATATATATATATATATATATATATATATATATATATATATATATATATATATATATATATATATATATATATATATATATATATATATATATATATATATATATATATATATATATATATATATATATATATATATATATATATATATATATATATATATATATATATATATATATATATATATATATATATATATATATATATGTATATATATATGTGTGTGTGTGTGTATTATTAGAATAATATAATATTATTTTAAAATTCTGTTTAGGATCTTGTGGTGCAAACAATTAATTTACTTTGAAAATCTAAATATCTCCCTTGCTAACGAGATTTCTAATTAAAAGTGAGCGAAAACAAGACCCTATTTAAAATCGAAATTGCACAGGCGCCGCCCCAAAGTGGGGCTATGAGTTAAGGTTAGTGAATTATACACAGTCGAAATGAAGAATTTTAACTGCTAATTGGCATTACTGGCTTATTTAATTGTTTTCTATATTAATTGTGTGACACCAAAATAAAAAGGCAAAGTGACTGGTAAAAAACTCCCCGTCCTTTCTAAGTGAGGGAGGTTGGGGGCGCATTTTCCCCAACGCGAATAGCTATAAAGGCCTAATTTAAAGATGGGGCGCAAAATTGATAGTTCGTCCTGTCTAATCAAAAATATATGGATATTTAAAATGTTACTATTTTAAAATGTTACTATTTTAAAATGTTACTATTTTAAAATGTTACTATTTTAAAATGTTACTATTTTAAAATGTTACTATTTTAAAATGTTACTATTTTAAAATGTTACTATTTTAAAATGTTACTATTTTAAAATGTTACTATTTTAAAATGTTACTGTTTAAAAATGTTACTGTTTTAAAATGTTACTATTTTAAAATGTTACTATTTTAAAATGTTACTATTTAAAAAAAAAATTCTAATGCCCCCCCCCCCCCTTTTACTGAAATTTTAGGGAAGATCACGTCCGCTATATTATCGAAAAGTCTTGAACAATTGATTTCAAACGGCATCTTTTGGCAAATCATCGTATTATGTCAAAAATTAAAGCGAACTCTAGTGCAGATAAGGATTAGTGTTACGTTCAAATCCCATGACAACATTTGGGGTTGTGTCGCCCTCTGCCTGTGTAGGGGAAGGTTTTGTACACCCACCTGTTGGCTGGACAGCGTTTTTCGGATCTTTGGAGAAAGAAAAAAAAAGGACGCAATGTTTCACATTGACAGTAGCTATGCACGTTAAATATTCCCACAGTAACACAGTTTTTAAATTTCTAACGACCTGAGTGACAAGTGAACACAAAAAAAAACATTGATACGACATGATGTCAGGATCAGGATGGGCTTTATGGTAGAGTTAGTGGTAAGGTAGAGAAGCTACTGTAATGGTGGTCGCGTGGTGTGGGAGTAAGCTTGATGGTAGAGTTAGTGGTAAGGTAGAGAAGCTACTGTAAAGGTGGTCGCGTGGTGTGGGAGTAAGCTTGATGGTAGAGTTAGTGGTAAGGTAGAGAAGCTACTGTAAAGGTGGTCGCGTGGTGTGGGAGTAAGGAGAAAATTAATTTCCATGCCTACTTATCAGTAAACCAACATTTCAGGTGAAAGTTCAAAATTCAATAGATAATTTTCATTTTACAAACTGATATCATTCACGAACCTTTCGAAATCTTGTTTTCTGACCTAGATTTTCCTGCAATAAAGAAACAATCGGTTACCATGGTAATGTAGTTAAGCAATTTAAAAGTCTCCCTACTTGCACTAAGACATGCTCTTATACAGAAGTGTTGCACTTCTGCAAAGAATTCAAAATGAAATGTTCAGTTTCGCTACTAGATCTACCTATTTTATTGTACACGGAATATAGAGGATTTATTTAAATCGTACACAAAATTGACACGTGATTTTGACCAGTTTGACATCCGACCGTCCGTCTGTCTTTCTGTCAATGTGTGCATATGTGTGTATGTGTGTGTGTGAGCTATTTAATTATTATTTTATTACAAACAGGTAAATGTAGCTTTTTTGTGTTTCTGTTGAGGATTGTTGTGGTTTTTACAAGCTTTTATTTAACTCACTCTCTCTGTCGACAGTCTGTCTGTCGTCAGTCTGTCTAGATCGAAATGAACGAGCGAAATTACGGGTACTTCTAACTGATATATACGGTTTGTTGTTGGTACGTGGGACAAGACATGAAGACAATGCAACATGACATTAAATTTGACTTAATTGGTTGCCTAATTAATTTTTATGAATTAAAATTTTGTCCAAATTAGTATGCTGTCTCACCAAACTATTCCGCGCAATTAGACACGCATCATCACATTCAATAGGTTTTTAGTCATGCAACTATAGTGTAAATATAACATGTAAATTACTAAAAATAATCATAAAAACGTTTTAGTAACAAGATTTTATGTAATAATGCACTAAAAAAGTAGAAAATAAATTATACACTACTATTAAAATTACTATGAAGAAAAGCGTCGGTCTCTTCCTAAATATTAGTAAAGCTATCCAATAGATAATAAAGTGACCTTCGCTTTTCTTTATAGTAATTTAAATAGTAGTGTAGAATTTATTTTCTACTTTTTAGTGCATTATTACTCAAAAGCACGTTATTGAAACTTTTTTGTGAATTTATTTTACAAGCTTTTATTTAACTCACCTCCTCTGTCTGTCGTCAGTCTGTCGCCAGTCTGTCTAGATCGAAACAGCCGAGTGAAATTACGGGCACTTCTAAGTGACAGATACGGTTCTTAGATGGTACGTGTGTCAAGACATGTAGACAATGCAACATGACATTAAACTTGTCTTAATCGGCTGCCTAATTAATTTTTTAATGAATTAATTAAAATTTCGTCCAAATTAGTAGGCTGTCTCGTCAAACTATTCCGCACTATTAGACACGCGTCATTACGTTCATTAGGTGCGCAATAGTTTTTAGTCATGTAACTCTATTGTAAATTTAAAACATTTAAAGTACTGAAAAAAATTCATAAAAAAAACCTATCAGATAGCAGTTCGTGGCCGATAACACACTTGAGGTCCAAAATTGTTCTAAAATAGTTCTTTACGTATTTCATTCTTGAAAATGTTTCTTCACACAGGTATGTTGTTCCAAAAATTGAAAAGTACCTACATATGAAAATTTCGACATTAGGAAAGTCTTCCTTGGTCATAATCTTTGAAACCTTCAACCTTCATTTGAGAGAAAATGCTACCTAGGGCTAAACACTACAGACATTGTAGCTTGACATTACAATGGCCAGCAGAGTCGACAAAACGAGAAACGACCTTGGAAAATTAACTCACTGACGACATGAAGGTTATTCTTACACTTACCCAGCACGTCCACACGCAGAAGTACGTGGTGAATCAATTTTTTCCTACTGCTGATTTGACATTCGTAAACCCCGGCGTCACTCGGCCTCACGTCGTGAATGAGCAACTTCCACTCATTTTCCTGCGGGTTTGATTGGGCCGAATAACGCGTGGCGCCAACGTAAACTTCTCCTCCAATGGTTAACGGATTTGGGTCAGAGGCTCTTCTCCAGATGACCTGACGAAATAAACGACACAATCAAATCTCTAGACGGGCTTTGGTTTTGTTGAGTTGACTTAACTTGACTTAAGTCAGCTTGAACGGGGCCCTTGGCTTGAAATAATTTACGTGGCCCTATTTAAATATAAATATAATAATCTCATGGTTGTTGACACGGCTGCCGAACAAGATGTTTGCACGGGCGACCTCCCCATGTGAGAGCCCGTCTCCCCATGTGAGAGCCCGTCTCCCCATGTGAGAGCCCGTCTCCCCATGTGAGAGCCCGTCTCCCCACGTGAGAGCCCATCTCCCCATGTGAGAGCCCGTCTCCCCACGTGAGAGCCCGTCTCCCCACGTGAGAGCCCATCTCCCCATGTGAGAGCCCGTCTCCCCATGTGAGAGCCCGTCTCCCCATGTGAGAGCCCGTCTCCCCATGTGAGAGCCCGTCTCCCCATGCGAGAGCCCGTCTCCCCATGTGAGAGCCCGTCTCCCCATGTGAGAGCCCATCTCCCCACGTGAGAGCCCGTCTCTCCACGTGAGAGCCCATCTCCCCATGTGAGAGCCCGTCTCCCCACGTGAGAGCCCATCTTACATGTGAGAGCCCGTCTCCCCATGTGAGAGCCCGTCTCCCCATGTGAGAGCCCGTATCCCCATGTGAGAGCCCGTATCCCCATGTGAGAGCCCGTCTCCCCACGTGAGAGCCCGTCTCCCCATGTGAGAGCCCGTAACCCCATGTGAGAGCCCGTCTCCCCATGTGAGAGCCCGTATCCCCATGTGAGAGCCCGTATCCCCACGTGAGAGCCCGTCGCCCTCACCATGCATGAAACGCTCAACTCACACCAATTGGCTTTATCGATGACTGGCGGACGTAAAGTCGCACCAACGACACACGACGGGACCTAAAGTCGCACCAACGACGCACGACGCTTATAGACTCGAGTTTTTTTATATGGTTGTTTTATTTCCAAGGTAAATACTCTTCACATTTTATTTCTTTGCGTTTTTATTACTTTCTCGTATATACGAAGTATAGAGAAAGTCTTGTAATCGTGCGAAAAAAAAATCGAGTTTTTTTTACAAATCTCGACGTTTTACACCTCACTGATACGGAAAAACATAATTTTGCAATCTTGTCCGTATGTCTGTCTGATTGTGTGTGTGTTTGTGTCTGTCTGTGTGTAAACACGATAACTTGAGTACCGTTACAGCTAGGTTGATGAAATTTCATATATAGGTATTTTATCAAAATCGTAGACCGTATCAACTTTTGAGCGATTTCCGATAACCGGAAGTGGTACTTTTCTACTTTGAATTTTTTAAAAGCCTATAACTTGAGTTCTATTTCAGATAGATAAATGAAATTTCACATGTAAGTAAAAGATCTAATGCTCTACCTTTTATTAAATTTTGAGTAATTTCCGTTGACTGGAAGTACTAATTCACGCTCTTTCCGATTTCTTAAAAAACGCACGTAAATTTATAAAGTACTAATAATATCCCGCACTATTATGCACATTTGTATTAGGCGTTCACTTGGTGTGCAATTCTTTTTTTAATGAAATTCTATCCTAATATATAAATCCCCACGTTCGCACATCTCTCTCTCTCTCTCTTTCTCTGTCCGCAAAAAATTTTCGCCGGACATCACGTCAGAATCGGCAGCGATAAATCGAGAACTTTTTACGGACTTTTGTTGAAAAAAATATGTTAGATGTTTTAAATGTATAACCACAAAATTATTTAAAGAAGAAAAATAAAAAATAAAGGCGTATTCGAATATAGAGAAACAGTATTATTTATGCAACCGGAAAAGCATTAATATATGTGAAAAAGAACGCATAAAACTGTGACGTCACTATTGCTTATACATTAACTAATGACGTCATCTGCCGTGTTTAGAATGAAAAGAAATGAACTATTTCATTCAAATTTGATTTAGATCTACGTACACTATGAAATGTATACAATACAATTTTTCCGGCCTAAACTCATAAAATTTATTTTATGTATTTGGATTCTAGATCTAGAGATTCTAGATCTAGACTAAATCTAAATCTACGCAATAACTAGATCTAGACGTAGACGCTAAGATCTAGATTTAGACTCTAACTTCTCTAAAATCAATTCCAAAAATAAATTTCTATATTAAATATTCTATACAAAATCTTTGTTATGAACTGGCTAATTTGGGATAAAAAATTAATTTGAAAGAATAGGCATATTCGCGTAAGTTAAGATTTTAAAATACGTGTTTCATTCTCCGTATTTTATAAGGTGCCTAAATAGCGGAGATGTTAGTGTACATTAAACCACGCAGGTGGTGCGGGTTCGAGACACACCAAGTCAACTTGGTTAATGTATTTTTTTTAATTATGCTCGGGCTAAACTTAAAAAAAAAATTCTTTTAGGAATCTAGATCTAGATTGTCGGGTGTCCGATAGGGCACTTCCCGGCGCCGCAGGCGCTTCAAATTTGGCAGGATCTTGCCTTGGGGCGACAGAACACGGGGGCCGGTTGGCCGAAAAGTCTACGGTGAGGGGGTCAAAACTGACCTCGACTGACCGGTACCTTATATGAGCTATAAATTTAAAAAAAAATGTCCACGGAGGAACCTCTTCATAACTCTTGAGGTCGTAGACCGACCCTCGGGCGAATTAATTAAGCATTCAAATTCTCAATGTTTTCGAAAGCCTAAGCGAAGCTGGGCAGCATGCCTAGTTCTATTATAAAAAGTTTAAGTAATTAAAAATGGATTACAAATATTGTCTATATCCTGATTTGCCATCCCTCGTAGTTTTATATTAGAATATTCGAGAAAGTTTAGGGGAGATCACTCCCGGTTTATTTGTTATATTATCCTAATATATAAAAGGCCATGTGCGCTCTTCTCTCTCTCTGTCCGCAAAATATTTTCGCCGGACATCACGTCAGAATCGGCAGCGATATATGGATACCTTTATACAGGCTTTTGTTGAAAATAATATGTTAGATGTTTTAAATGTATAACCACAATTTTATTTAAAGAAGAAAAATAAAAAATAAAAGCTTGTTATTAAAACGTTTTTTATGAATTTTTTTTCAGTACTTTACATGTTTTATTTGCAATAGTGTTACAAGACTAAAAACCATTGCGCGTCTATTGAACGTGATAGCGCAGCTATTAAACCTGATTGAACGTGATGACGTATGTGGTGTGGTTGGATAGACATGCCTACTAATTCGGTCCAAATTTTAATTAATTCATAAAAAATTAATTAGGCATCCAATTAAGTCAAATTTAGATTCAGATTGCATTGTCTTCATGTCTTGACCCACGTGCCAACTGTGAATCGTATCGGTCAAGTAGAACTGTCCGAATTTTCACTCCTGCGTTTCCATCTAGACTGACGACAGACAGACTGTCGACAGACTGTCGACAGAGGAAGTGAGTTAAATAAAAGCTTGTAAAAAATGAACTATTTCATTCAAATATGATTTAGAGCTATGTACGCTATGAAATGTAGACTACACAATACGATATTCTCGGCCTAAACTAAAAAAAAATATTTTATCTATTTGGATTCTAGATCTAGAGATTCTAGATCTAGACTAGATCTAAATCTACGCTACGTCGCTAAGATCTATTCTAGATCTAGATTTAGACTCTATCTACTGTAGAATCTATTCCAACAATAAATTTCTATAATAAACTTTTTCAGGACTTAAATATTTTATAGAAATCTTTCTTTGTTTAGCAATGAAACTGGCTAATTTTGGGTAAATAAAATAATTTGAAAAAATAGGCATATTCGTGTAAGTTATTTTTTTAAACACTTCTTTTATTCTCCATATTTTAAAAGGTACCTAATTAGCTGAGATGATAGTGTACTTGATACCAGACAGGTGGTGCTGGATCAAGACACACCAAGTCAAACCTAATATTTTTTTTTCTTTATATGTGAATCTTCCTATTTTAGACTATAAAGAAAGGAACTACTTTGGAAATCTTTGTTTATCTATGCATTTTGCTAATCTCTATAATATATGAAGCAAAGTTGTCAGGTGCCCGACATCGGGCACTTCCCGGCGCCGCAGGCGCTTCAAATTTGGCAGGATTTTGCTTTGGGGCGACAGAACACGGGGGCCGGTGCCGGTTGGCCTAAAGGTCTACGATGAGGGGGTCAAAACAGACCTCGACTGACCGGTACCTTATATGAGCTATAAATCGAAAAAAATTTGTTCACGTAGGAACCTCTTCGTAACTCCTGAGGTCGTAGACCGACCCTCGGGCGAATTAATTAAGCATTCAAATTCTCAATGTTTTTGAAAGCCTAAGCGAAGCTGGGCAGCATGCCTAGTTAAACAATATTTGTCGTTTATAACAACATTTTGATTATTAAAACCAAAGTAACAAAAACAGCTGCGTTGGCATTTTTGGGAGCTGGAACGGATTTTCAGTATATTAATAAGTTTCAATGAGGAATAATGCACTGTAGAAAATAAATTATACACTACTATTTAAATAACTATAAAGAAAAGCGTGAGTCTCTTCTCAAATATTAGTAAAGGTATCCAATAGGTACTAAAGTGACCCACGCTTATCTTTATAGTTATTTAAATAATAGTGTATAATTTATTTTCTACTTTTTAGTGCATTATTACATAAAAGCTTGTTCTTAAAAAGTTTTTTATGAATTTTTTTAAAGTAGGCCTACTTTACATGTTTTTATTTATAATAGAGTTACAGGTTTAGACATGTTTAGATGTTTGAATATTTTTGTTTGTTTGTCTGATTGGCTACTGGAGAGAATCTGCACTATGTATAGAGCTGTAAAATAGTATATGGGTAGAGAACAATTTTTGTTTTCAGACAGACTGTTAATCACACATTTATTTAAAGATGTTAATTAATTTATTGATTTATTCATTGGTAGATTAACCACATTAATTTTAAAAGTTTAGAAAAACGACTTTACTTTGAGTGTATAGTGACGTCATATGATTTGTTTACTTTATAGTACAATAAATGGCAGCTCCAATATAAGATTTCGTTGCTTATTCAGATCTTTAACGCGTTAAAAAGCTAAATTTCTGTCGGCTATAACTTTAACAATACGTCCGTTTGCTGTTTTTATTACGTTCCAACACTTATATACATTTTCAACTGTCTTTTTCATTTAGTTTTATAATAAATTTCTCTAGCTGTACAATCTGTCCAAGATAGTTATTTATAGATCTATATCTAGAATCTAGGTCAAACCAAACATTAATTAGTTAAAAATACAATCCATTTTAAAATCATAATACATGTTTGAATTTCTTTATTAAACTACTTTAGTCCTTAAATCTTTGTGAGTTATCTATCTAGATCTAGAATAGGTCTAATCTAGATCTAGCAAGAGTTACGCAAAAACTAGACTTAAGCAAACGAGTCGTAGAATGTAGATAATTCTATCTAGATCTATATAATAATGAGTTTCTATACTAAACTATTTCAGAACTTCATTATTTTATATAAATCTTTGTTGGTTTAGCTCTGGAATTGGCTAATATAGGATAAAATTTAATTTGAGAGTTACTAGACTTAGATCTAGATCTAGATCTAAATAGGGCCTATGCGCGTAAATCAAGTTGCATAAGGAGACTCAAAGTATTAAACTATACCATAAAAAAAACATCAGTGACGTCACGAGTCTAAATAGCTAAGTTGTTAGTGTAAATAGGCTTTCATGCGGGTGGCACGGGTTCTAGACACATCACGTCAATGTTAAAAAAAAATCATTTTTTTATATTTTTTAGATGTGAATGATAAAGTTGCCTATTTGAACTTGGCGGGATACAGGGCAAGTGAAGTAGAGTTCATCTGTTTCTTTTTCCTAAGCATATGAAGGGATAGTGTGGTCAAACCAATGCTCAGCCGAAATCGGTGTATTTAAAAGATAAAAAAAAACGTCTTTTTGAATGTGGGTGTCTGGATTTTTGTGACGATAAGTGACAGACGTGATGGTTTTTATGGATGACCCCAGAAACCCACAGTTATCCAAGGGATGACGGGAAGTCTAGTGACTAATAAAAGCTTGTTGTTAAAACATTTTTTATGAATTTTTTTTAGTACTTCAAATGTTTTTATTTACAATAGAGTTACATGACTAAAAACCATTGCGCACCTAATGAACGTGATGACGCGCTTTTGCTGTGACGACACGTGTGGATAGAACAGCCTACTAATTTGGTCAAAATTTTAATTAATTCATAAAACATGAATCAGGCAACCAATTAAATCAAATTAAATGTCACGATGTCTTGTCTTCATGTCCTGACCCACGTACCAATTACGAACCGTATCTGTCAGTTAGAAGTGCCTGCAATATCGCTCCGGCGTTACGATCTAGACTGACGACAGACTGACGACTAACGAGGAAGTGAGTTTTAAATAAAAGCTTGTAAAAAGGGCCATCCTGCAAAAATATTTTTAGCCCCCCCCCACCCCCACCCCACATATATATATATATATATATATATATATATATATATATATATATATATATATATATATATATATATATATATATACATATATATATATATATATATATATATATATATATATATATATATATATATATATATATATATATATATATATATATATATATATATATATATATATATACTTATTGCTGGCCTGTTCGGGATTTGAAATTTTTTTTTTCTTTTTCAATTAAAATAAATTACATCATATGCATGTTTTGTGAAATCAGTTTTATTTTATTTCTGCTAGAAGACCACCTAACATCTAGTCAGTTAAAAGATTATAAAACATGAAAGCTTTGTATAAGTAATGGTGTCTCATGTTATGTTTATTTTTATGCTTTTTTTAAAATTTATATTATTAATTTTTTAAATATTATTAATTTAATACATTTCCTTTTTATACAATGTCATTCTTTAGTAAGTACTTTATAAAAAATATAATTAAGAAAAGTAATTAATTTTTAATTTGTTTTGTACAAATCTATTAAAAGGAGCTTATGAGCACCCCTATTTGACTATTTAATAAACCGGGAGTGATCTCCCCTAAACTTTCTCGAATGTTCTTATATAAAATAACAGGGGATGGGAACTCGGGCTATAGACATGATTTTTAATCCATTTTAAATACTTAAAGTTTTAAAAATAGAATAAAATCTCGTAGACAAATTAATTGCACACCAAGTGAACGCCAAATAAAAAAGCGCATAATAGTGCGCAATATTATTAGTACTTCTAAAATTTACATTAGTTTTTTGAGAAATCGAAAGTAGCGTAAATTACTACTTCCAGTCAACGGAAATTACTCAAAATTTAACAGAAGGTAGACAATTAGATCTTTTACTTACATGTGAAATTTCATGTATCTATCTGAAATAGTACTCAAGTTATAGGCTTTTGAAAAATTCAAAGTAGGAAAAGTACCACTTCCGGTTATCGAAAATCGCTCAAATGTTGATACGGATCTACGATTTTGATAAAATACTTATATATGAAATTTCATCAACCTAGCTGTAACGGTACTCAAGTAATCGTGTTTACACACGGACACACAGACACACATACACACACACACACACACAGACATACGGACAAGATTGCAAAATTATGTTTTTCCGTATCAGTGAGGTGTAAAACGTCGAGATTTGTAAAAATCTCGATTTTTTTTTGCACGATTACAATACTTTCTCTATACTTCGTATATACGAGAGAGTAAAAAAGGGAAATAAGTCATGGAAGTGGTTTGAACGTTTGCTTATCTTTGATAAGTTTAATTGTAGGAGAAAGACTCGGCTTTCACGGAGGTTTAAAAACAAAGGGAAAAAGAATATACAAGAGCGTGTGGTGGTGTCTACAGAATAAAGAAAATCCAACCGCAGCTACTGTAATCTTTTTACAAAACAACCATCAAGTCAAAAATGCAAGAAAATTATTTTTTTAACTATTAAAAAATTATTATGGTCTGCTGTGGGCCCCTAAATGGCGTGACCCCCCCCCCCCCCCCAATTGCGGGGTCTAGCGGCACTGAAGTTCCGCTCCTGCAAACCACCAAATGTGGAACAACTGCAGGTTATTTTAATACTAGCAGCAAACATCGTTGTCCTATAAAAACTGGCGTTTTGATCTCACACAGATAAAAATAGACAAGCAGGGGGTGTTACTTCAACAATACTAGAGCCAATGACTGATATAGTTAGTTCCCTTATGTCACGTGACCTATGTTTAGAAGACAACACAGGTGAACTAGTCATATGATCAGGCAAGCTAATGTTGAGAAATTGTTCAGCCATTTTTAACGGAAATAATTATTAGTGCACACACAGATACCATTTATTGTTCTGTCAAAACGTTTTAAAACATTATCTAACACCTGCAAGATCTACTTTCATTTTGGGATAGTCATTTCAAAAATGGCCCAGATAAATTGTACTTCATTATTCGCATTTCTAACCACCCATACATGTAAATTCATGCATTAGATAATATGAAATCTTGTCACATTAATCACATGATATGGGACCAGATAAAACAATGCTTGTCGTTGAACAAAAACCAGTGTTTCTTCCAGACTGTTTTCTCCGGGAAGGGCACTTGAAATTTTCGGGGGGGGGGGGGGGGGGGGTTTAATTTTTGGCGGGGGGGGGGGGTCACTGTTAAAAGAATATATTTTCTATATAAATTCAATTTCGTTGGGGTGGATGGGGGGTGTGGGTGATAAACTCTCTTCGGGGGGGGGGGGGTGTATCTGCCCCCACAAAGAGATGCCTGGAAGAAACACTGGCTAAAAACCAGGGTAAGGTGCGGGGCCAACTACGCAAAGCATAAATGGGTGCGCCCCCCCCTACAGAAACGTACCGTTCGAGTGCCAATGTTGTGTATACCACATACCAGAGTGGCCGTCTCGCCTCGGTTAAATGAAACGTTGGTGGGTCGTGGAAGAAAACTCGGCTGCTCTTCGTCTTGATAATCGCTGGTGTCAAGGCTAGCTGTGGACACAGTTGGACATAAACAGCGGTGACTAGAGCAGAAGGAAATAAACAAGATGGAGATGAGCGTTTCATGTTATTACATGTACATTTATTATTTCTGTAATATACAAGAAACAGAAATACATATTAGAAATCAAGAAATAGTAAAAATTTCACAAAATGTTAACAAAATGTTAACTTCAATCCGACAGAAGTTGACGCCTTTGAATGTTTGACAGTAAGAGAGTACACCATGAAAGTAACCGCCACTAGTACCTGTAAGAATGGTGAGGGACATCATCAGAACAATTCTCATCATCATCCTCGGCTTTAATTCAAGCAGTATGCAGTCTCCATTTTTTTCATTGCTGGTTTTTCCAAAATCAGTAGTCAGTTCCACCAATCTATCTCGATCTGGTTCACCTAAATTTCTGTACACACACACGTATATATATATATATATATATATATATATATATATATATATATATATATATATATATATATATATATATATATATATATATATAAACACATATATATCTTTATAAATATATTTGTATATTTATATGAACACATGTATATCTTTATAAATAAACAAATAAATAATCACATATACATATATATTTATATATATATATATATATATCGATATATAGATATATATATATATAGATATATCGATATATAGATATATCGATATATATATATATATAGATAGATAGATAGATAGATAGATGGATGGATGGATGGATGGATGGATGGATGGATGGATGGATGGATGGATGGATGGATGGATGGATGGATGGATGGATGGATGGATGGATGGATGGATGGATGGATGGATGGATGGATGGATGGATGGATGGATGGATGGATGGATGGACGGACGGATGGATGGACGGACGGACGGACGGATGGACGGACGGACGGACGGACGGACGGATGGACGGATGGACAGATGGACGGATGGACGGATGGACGGATGGACGGATGGACGGATGGACGGATGGATGGATGGATGGATGGATGGATGGATGGATGGATGGATGGATGGATGGATGGATGGATGGATGGATGGATGGATGGATGGATGGATGGATGGATGGATGATTGGATGGATGGATGGTTGGATGGATGGATGGATGTGATATTAATGTGATTTTTCATGTGTTTGTTTCTATCCTGCCGACATGCCAGTAGTGAGAGACGTGTGATGTTCTTTATTGGGTTGTGTTCAACCCCTTCTCACATTCCCCAGAAGAATTTCGTGTATATCTTCACCCACGTTCAGGGTTTGAGTCCTGGGCAGTAGACACATCATTCGGTACATACTTATCCATTAAACTTATCCATAAAAAATCACACTCTAACTGCAGATTTGAGATTTCAAAACTTGATTTTTTAAAGAATAATCACAATTCAAAGAATAACACAACAACAGGCCAACAGACCTCCATTGTTACATTTCCATAAACTGTGTTTCACGTTCTACTAACACTCTATGCTCTACATCTTTCACTGGCATTCTGCGCCCGACCACTCAAGTTGTCACTGGCTGTTTGACCTATATATATATATATATATATATATATATATATATATATATATATATATATATATATATATATATATATATATATATATATATATATATATATATATATATATATATATATATATAAATTCATTTTAAGGTAAGTTGGTTATGTAAAAGTGTGTGTTTGTGTGTGTGTTTGCGTGAGTGTTTGTAGTTGTGATAGTGTTGTATGTATGTGTATATATGTTGTGTTGGTGAGAGTGTTAAGGTGCACATTTTGACATATTAGAAACAAAAGCTCAGATTAAACCTAACCTTAATCCTAACCCTAATCCCCATAGACATCCGTAGCTTTAAAACAATCACATTAACAGTGGAGGCCTTGCTGGCACAGAGGTCAGAGACCAGAGGTCAGTCTCACTGCACACGGATGTGTTCACTTTTCAAACCGTCGTAAAGCTATCCCTAACTACACAAGCTCTGGTCGCGACAAGAAACACGCCCCTACACAAAATTTCAGTTCTTATTTCTTGCATAAAAACATAAACTAACACATGAACCTAAACTAACCTAACGCCAACATTATCTCTAACGCAGTCATATTATCTCACTGATATTTAATCACGAAGACAGACATACAATTACACAGACATACAATTGCACAGACAGACATACAATGATACAAACTGATTTACAATCACACAGACAGACATACATACATCACACACAGACATGGGATTAGACATATAATAACACAACCAGACTAACAACTACATAGAGATATAATCACACACACACACAGATGTACAATCACACAGACAAATTGACAAGCACACAGACAGACATACAATCATTAAATAATGTATCCAGTTATATCACAGGTAAGCATTGAACATTGCATACAGTAGGTTAGTAGGTCAGCTAAAAATGTCGGTGCGTTAGTTCAGAAGCTGGGTTAAGGTTAGCGCCAGTTTTCGTTACAGGTAGAAGAGTTAACTGTTGAACTAGAATAGTGTTAGAAGACGTCAAGTAAGTGAGGCAGTGAGTGTGTGAATGTGTGAGTGTGGCAGTAAGTGTGGTGGTGTGGCAGTGTGGCAGTACGTGTGTGTGGCAGTGTGTGTGTGTGTGGCAGTGTGGCAGTGTGTGTGTGTGGCAGTGTGTGTGTGTGGCAGTGTGAGTGTGGCAGTGTGTGTGTGAGTGTGGCAGTGTGTGTGTGAGTGTGGCAGTGTGGCAGTGTGTGTGTGTGGCAGTGTGTGTGTGTGGCAGTGTGAGTGTGGCAGTGTGTGTGTGAGTGTGGCAGTGTGTGTGTGAGTGTGGCAGTACGTGTGTGTGGCAGTGTGTGTGGCAGTGTGTGTGTGTGGCAGTGTGGCAGTGTGTGTGTGTGGCAGTGTGAGTGTGGCAGTGTGTGTGTGAGTGTGGCAGTGAGTGTGTGAGTATGGTGTGAGTGTGGCAGTGTGTGTGTGTGAATGTGGCAGTGTGTGTGAGTGTGGCAATGTGGCAGAAAGTGAGATTGTCGTGAAACTTATAAAAATGTGATGCTAATGTATTAAGTGTAAATTTTCTTTATACCTGTGTATTTATACAAACATATATACATACATACATACCCACAAACATACATACATACATATATATGTATGTGTGTATTTATGTATGTAGGTCAATGTATTGAGTTTAAATGTACCGATTGGAACTGACATGACTTTAAAAACAAAGTTTGACTCACCTCAGCGAAGGATGCAGGTGAAATGGTTTTCTCTACCTGTTCGTAGGTAAACAACTTTTCTTTCTTTTCATGACATATTTGATTCACTTTCTATTTTGATCAATTTCAACACATTGAAAACCTGAGGAGGATATACAGACATTGCTTTGTATCATCGGCGTTATGATTTGAAAATGTCAAGAGAATATAGCGTTGTTGTGGAACTCACTAATTAGCAAAAACTGTAGATCTCACTAATTAGCAAGTGGTTTAGAACTCACCAATTAACAAATGATTTAAAAATAACTAATTAGCAAATGATTTAGAATTCACTTATTAGCAAATGATTTCGCGGGGGGGGGGGGGGGGGGGCGGCGGAGCGGACTAAAATTTCCCGCAGGGGGAGGGGGTTTGACTTTCTTCGGGGGCTCTGTCCCCCTAAACGATGCCTGGAAGAAACTCTGGTCACTAAAAAAACAAGAAAATTTATTTTTATCTCTGGTGTCTCTACTCTCGAAAAGGACTCCATTAAGGGTATCGGTAAAAGCGCAGCCTGAAGCAAATTTTAAAAAAAATGTTTTCATAAAAAACGTTTTAATAACAAGCTTTTATGTAATAAACCGGGAGTGATCTCCCCTAAACTTAATATTCTAATATAAAATGACGAGGGATGGTAACTCAGGACATAGACAATATTTGTTATCCATTTTTAATTGCTTAAACTTTTTATAATAGAATAGAATCTCGTAAAAAAAAGAATTGCACACCCTGTGAAAAGTTTCCCTTTCAAACCTGACGGTCTATGGGGCAAGTAAAGTAGAGTTCACTTGTTTCTGTGACCTCGGCATATGAAGAGATAGCGTGGTCAGCACTATGCCCAGCCGCCTTTACTTTCCCTAACAGGAGTTAGGTACCCATCAGAGTTGGGTGGACTCAGGGACGGTCTACTGACTTGAACTCGGATTCGAACTCGAGACTAACGGGTTAGCAGTCCAGCTCTCTACAGACAAAAGGACAGAATTGCAAAGTCCAGTTTTTTACGACTCGATAACGTTTATATATTTGTATTTATAATTTTTGCCTGATTAAAATAAGCCCTCTATACTCCGGATGTGATGAAGGACTGAGGAGTAAAACGGTGAAAACTGTCAAAATTTCATGTTATTTTTGTGCACGATTACAATACTTTCTCTATACTTCGTATATACGAGAAAGTAAAAATGCACTAAAAATGAGAAAATAAATTATAGACTACAATTTAAATAACTATAAAGAAAAGCTTGGGTCAGTTTAGTATCTATTGGGTTACTTTACTAATATTTAGGAAGAGACCCACGCTTTTCTTTATAGTTATTTAAATAGTAGTCTATAATTTATTTCCTCCTTTTTAGAGCATTATTATTTTCTTAATACTAAACATGTTTTATTTACAATAGAGTTACATGACTAAAAACCATTTCCCGCCTATTGTACGTGATGACGCGCAATTGAACGTTATGACGCGTGTCTAATAGCGCGGAATAGTTTGATGAGACAGCCTACTAATTTGGACAAAAGTTTAATTAATTTATAAAAAATTAATCAGGCAACCAATCAAAAAAGTAAAATTTAATGTCATGTTGCATTGTCTTCTGTCTTGACCTACGTACCAACTACGAACCGTATCTGTCAGTTAGAAGTGCCTGCAATTTTGCTCGGGCGTTTCGATCTAGACAGACTGACGACAGACTGACGATAGACTGACGAGGAAGTGAATTAAATAAAATGTAAATTTTTTTTCATAAAAAAACGTTTTAATAACAAGCTTTTATGTAATAATGCATAAAAAGTAGAAAATAAATTATACACTACTATTACTATAAAGAAAAGCGTGGGCCACTTCAGTATCTACTGGATACCTTTCAGAGTTTTTTCTTTTTTCCAGGCATCTTTTCTTTTACTTGTGTCCGCCCCACCACCGGAAAATGTTGACCGCCCACTTCCCCCCCCCCCGATAATATCAACTGCCGCCCCCCCCCCCCGGAGAAAAAGTCTGGAAGAAACACTGATACCTTTACTAATATTTAGGTAGAGACCCACGCTTTTCTTTATAGTAATTTAAATAGTAGTATTAGTAGTGTATAATTTATTTTCTACTTTTTAGTGCATTATTACATAAAAGCTTGTTATTAAAACGTTTTTTATTAACAAATTTTAAGTACTTAACATGTTTTTATTTACTATAGAGTTAACATGACTAAAAACCATTGCGCGCTATTGAACGTGATGACGCGCTATTGAACGCAATGACGCGTGTGGAGTAGTTGGTTAGAACTGCCTACTAATTTGGTCAAAATTTCGATTAATTCATAAAAAATTAATTAGGCATCCAATAAAGTCAAATCGAATGTCGTGATGCATTGTCTTCATGTCTTGACCCACGTATCAACTACGAACCGTCCGTTTCGATCTAGACAGACTGACGACAGGCTGACGAGGAAGTGAGTTAAATAAAAGCTTGTAAAAATTTCATAAAAAACGTTTTAATAACAAGCTTTTGTGTAAAAATGCACTAAAAAGGAGAAAATAAATTATAGAATACTACTTAAAGAGCTATAAAGAAAGCGTGGGTCACTTTAGTATCTATTGGATACCCTTACTAATGTTTAGGAAGAGACCCACGATTTTCTTTATAGTTATTTAAATAGTAGTCTATAATTTATTTTCTACTTTTTAGTGCATTAGTACATTAAAGCTTGTTAACACGCTCTGGATTGGAATCCCCAGGGAAAAAGGAGGATGGGCCCAGTGGGCCGGCCAAGGAAGTCATGGAGAATAACGGTTGAAGAAGAGGCGAAAACAGCTGGGCACACATGGGCACAGATAAAGGGAGCAGCCCAAAACCGAGTCCGATGGAGATGTGTGGTTGCAGCTCTTTGCTCCGAAGGGGCCACAAAGGAATAATGATGATGATATAGGCTTTAAAAAAAAATCAAAGTAGAAAAAGTACCACTTCCGGTTATCGGAAATCGCTAAAAAGTTAATACGGATATGCGATTTTGATAAAATATTTATATATGAAATTTCATCAACCTAGCTGTAACGGTACTCAAGTTATCGTGTTTACAGATACACACACAGACACACACACACATACACACAGTCATACGGACAAGATTGCAAAATTATGTTTTTCCGTATCAGTAAAACGTCGAGATTTGCAAAACTCTCGTTGTTTTTTTTTTTTTTTTTTTGCACGATTACAAATCTTTCTCTAAACTTCGTATATACGAGAAAGTGAAAAAAGGAGAAAATTGTTTTCTCCTTTTAGTGCCTTATGACTTAAAAGCTCGTTATTTAAAACGATTTTTTATGAATTTTTTTGTTAAGACTGGGATTGGATTAGTTATAAGAACCGATTTTAGTATTTTAAGTTTTAGAACTAGTAGTAGGGATTAGTATTTTACTCGAGGCATTAGAGCTTATTTATACTTAGTAGTAGTTAGTATTAGTATTTAAACATCTTTAACCTTGTTTAGTTATGTAATATATTTTTTCTTCACACTTTATTCATGATTTCTCCCCTCCATTTATTGTTGGTAATTAAATTGATGATTCGCTTTTTTTAAAAACCTAGATTAAGGTTATGGTTGAACAACCGTGTGGGTAAGCTACTAATATGTGACAATCAACTTGACAACTGTACACAAATTGAACAAAATTAATTTTCACCCTGATAAAACCAAGGCAATGCTCATTACTACTCATCAGAAACGTCAACATCTTCAATCTACCTAATTACATATTTAAAACAACAACAACATAGAACGTGTTAACAGCAATAAATGCCTGGGGTTGGTTATAGATCACAACCTTACCTGGTCTGAGCATATTCTTTTTCTAAAAATGTCTCTATTTAAAGGTACTTTCGAACTAATAAAGATAAAATTGAAATAGAAGAGCAGGCTGGCTTTTTACGAAGCTTTCATCCAATGTAGGTTAGATAATGTTTCCACGAAGCTTTCATCCAATGTAGGATAGATAATGTTTCCACGAAGCTTTCATCCAATGTAGGATAGATAATGTTTCCACGAAACTTTCATCCAATGTAAGATAGATAATGTTTCCACGAAGCTTTCATCCAATGTAGGATAGATAATGTTTCCACGAAGCTTTCATCCAATGTAGGATAGATAATGTTTCCACGAAGCTTTCATCCAATGTAGGATAGATAGTGTTTCCACGAAGCTTTCATCCTATGTAGGATAGATAATGTTTCCACGAAGCTTTCATCCAATGTAGGATAGATAATGTTTCCACGAAGCTTTCATCCAATGTAGGATAGATAATGTTTCCACGAAGCTTTCATCCAATGTAGGATAGATAATGTTTCCACGAAGCTTTCATCCAATGTAGGATAGATAATGTTTCCACGAAGCTTTCATCCAATGTAGGATAGATAATGTTTCCACGAAGCTTTCATCCAATGTAGGATAGATAGTGTTTCCACGAAGCTTTCATCCTATGTAGGGTAGATAATGTTTCCACGAAGCTTTCATCCAATGTAGGATAGATAATGTTTCCACGAAGCTTTCATCCAATGTAGGATAGATAATGTTTCCATCGCGTGGCAACACCATCACCAAACAGCGTCCTCTATTATCATTACAAAAACGGGTCATAGCCCATGAGACTTGTGACCAGCTTATCTAGTAGTTTAGATTCTTTCATAAAAACTGATATACTTCCAATATATATATATATATATATATATATATATATATATATATATATATATATATATATATATATATATATATATATATATATATATATATATATATATGTATATATATATATATACACTAAAGCAACATTTCAATATAAAATGCTTTAGGAATCAGCCCCTTCTTACTAATCAGACTTGTTTTCTAAAATCACAAAATTAAGTCGTCGTCTTAGTTTCCCATATTCAACGTTTCCCCCCAAAAACATAATTTTGCCAACTCTGGTGCTAATTCGCGGAACAGTCTTCCAAATAAAATAGAACTATCTATATCTGATAATATGTTCTGAACTAAACTAAAAAAAATAACTATTTCATGACCTCATAAACTGACTAATATCTCATTCGTCTATTATAATTCTCATATTATTCCATGGTGTATTCTAACTATGTAATATTATTTCCTTACTCCAACTTTTTAAATGTCATGTTAATATTATTTTTTACTATTTAAATGCTTTTTCATTAAAAATGTTATTATGTGTGTTTTATGGCCAATGTGAAAAAAGGCATCCGTGCCTATTGTATTAAATTAATGAAGTAATGATTATCAATATGAATAGAAGAATGAACAATTTTACTTACTCGCTGACTACTTTTACTCATGCTTTCACCTATATATTTTTATTTAGGGAAAAAGTTTATTTTAAAATAGCATTTAAAATCGATTAAAAACGTATTGAAAAATACTTGAACGATTGTAGCAAAACGTAAGGGATGAGAAACTAGTTGACTTGCCAATAACAGCCGAAAAATCCTGAAGAAAACAAATGCTCCCTGGTTTTAGGAATGTTGCAGGAGAGAAAAATCGATTCTTCGTGTAAATCGATTTCTTCTCTAGCATGCTCGCCTCAGTGGACGAAAATGGCCGTCGGTCAATGTACGGTACACGATAAAATTGTGTGTGTATCTGCTGACCTGTATATCTATTGACCTGTATATATATATATATATATATATATATATATATATATATATATATATATATATATATATATATATATTAGTAGACTGTCTCACTATATTGAAAATAAAATCATGTCCTAATTTTAGCAATGTTACCTTTGTCATTGCTAAGTATACATCTATCCATCGTGAGACAATATGCCAGACATTTGCTTAAACTCATTTCTGGCTTGAAATAACTGAGTTTTAAAAACATCCTTATCTCATTTATACTAACCGGGAAAAAAGTGAAAAGTGTACCCTCAAAGCTGGCTAGGCTATGCCTAATGGTTTCTCGAGTTCGTTTTTTGCCGATAATTTTTGCGTTTATATTATTAATTTTGAATGAATTTCTTTTTATTTCTATGTCACTCTGTCGTTTAATAATAATTAAAAGAAAAAATGCTTTTAATTTGAGTTGTACAAAACTACTTCACTGAACTTGATCGGCACCCCTTTCAGACTCTTTCAAGAGGAAAAATAAGTGACGATTTCACACTACAGCTCATGTAGCTTATTTTATGCAACAGTGCGTGTTAGTTACTGTAGAAGAATTATTATTTCTAGTATATCTTTTTACAAGCTTTTATTTAACTCACTTCCTCTGTCGTCAGTCGTCAGTCTGTCTAGATCGAAACGCCCGTGTGAAATTGCAGGCACTTCTAACTGACATATACGGTTCGTAGTCGGTACATGGGTCAAGACATGAAGACAATGCATCGTGACATTTAATTTAACTTAATTGGTCGCCTAATTAATTTTTATGAATTAATTAAAATTTGGACCGATTAGTAGGCAGTTCTATCCACACGCGTCATCATGGCTATCTTGTGCGTGGAGCGAGGGGGCTCTACGATAAACAGAGTAGAAAAAGGCAATAAAACGCGTCATCACGGCAAAAGCGCGTCATCACGTTCAATAGGCGCGCAATGGTTTTTAGTCATGTAATTCTATTATAAATAAAACATGTTAAGTACTGAAAAAACATTCATTAAAAAAGTTTTAATAACAAGCTTTTATGTAATAATGCACTAAAAAGTAGAAAATAAATAACACACTACTATTTAAATAACTATAAAGAAAAGCGTGGGTCTCTTCCTAAATATAAGTAAAGGTATCCAATAGATACTAAAGTGACCCACGCTTTTCTTTATAGTAATTTAAATAGTAGTGTATAATTTATTTTCTACTTTTTAGTGCATCTAATATATAAAACTCAATTCTGTATGTAAAAATAAGTTTGTTTGTTTGTCGTTGACATACTTCCATGGATTTAAGTGTTAGACTATTATCGTGCTCATAGTCTAAATTAATGAGTTAAAAAATTACTATTGAAAGTGTTGGGAAATAATTTCATTTTTCAAACTGATAGTAATAATTGTCGGCATGTTCATTAAACACAATTTTTAAAAAATAACAAAAATTCTAATTATGTCTGATAATTATTTATATTTAGTCCTTTAGCACTTACTTCCCTTTGATAAATTAGGAAAACACAATTACTTCCCTTTATAAAACATTGCATTAGTGGAAAAGAATTTACTTTTTTTTACTTTGCTTTGGTGTTGGGAAAAAATAATTACATAATTAGCGGGGATTGATCAAGTGCAAATGTTGTAAGTATTTTACGAATAAGCTTGGAGTATTATAATTGTTCATTTGGTTTGGTTTGGCACCTACCTTCGTTTAAGTGAGTGCAAAAGACTATGAATAAGTTGGGGTACTAAAGTCGATTATTAAGCTGAAACAGGCGATTCTGCCCCGGGTTAGACTGTGAGCACTTTGCGTTTATGTTCGCGTTAGTGTTTTCTTTGTGTTTAGGTTGGGTTTCGTTAGTGGTTGCGTTTTGATTTGGTTCGTTTTTGTTCTTTCTTTTTTCGTTTTCGTTTGTGTTTTTTTCTTTGGGTTTGTGTTTGTATTTATGTTTGTGGTTGGTTTTGCGTTTGGATTTGGTTTGTTTTCGTTTGCTTTTTCGTTTGTGTTTTTTTCTTTGGGATTGTGTTTGTGGTTGGTTTTGCGTTTGGATTTGGTTTGTTTTGTTTGCCTTTTCGTTTTTTTTCTTTGTGTTCGTATTGGTGTTTGTGGTTGTGGTTGGGTTTGTTGTTAGGTTTTTGTTTTCGTTTGCTTTTTTGTTTGTTTTTTCTTTGTGTTTGTATTGGTGTTTGTGATTGTGGTTGGGTTTGTTGTTGGGTTTTTGTTTTCGTTTGTATTTGTAATTGTGTTAGCGTTATGTTTGCGTTTTGTTGTTTTGGTTGGTTGTGGTTTGGGTGGGCGATGCCGGGTTTATGATGATTACTAAACACACAGGTAACGTTCTTTAACAGCAAGGTTTTTCACAGAAGCCAGAGCAGGGCCTGGCCGGGACGGCTAGTTATTACATAAAAGCTTATTAAAACGTACTTTATGCATTACTATACCTTTTATCCGATTACCATGGAACTTTGGACAGTTGTTGAGAATTTACTAAATAGTGTGTTTTTAGACACGAGTCCTAGAGTGTTCATCCACACTACTGCCCAAACGACGCAGAGCCTTCAGCGTATGTCAATCACCATCCATGGGAACACCACTAATGTGTCGGTGGAGTTTCGGGGCGTTCTCGGGTGCCACCCGTTACACTACCGAAGGGGCTGAGCGTGCTGCAGATCATCTGCCTGATTTGATTTAGTTAACGATTACAGTAGCCTATCGTATTTAGTTAACGATTACAGTAGCCTATCGTATTTAGTTAACGATTACAGTAGCCTATCGTATTTAGTTAACGATAACAGTAGCCTATCGTATTTAGTTAACGATTACAGTAGCCTATCGTATTTAGTTAACGATTACAGTAGCCTATCGTATTTAGTTAACGATTACAGTAGCCTATCGTATTTAGTTAACGATTACAGTAGCCTATCGTATTTAGTTAACGATTACAGTAGCCTATCGTATTTAGTTAACGATTACAGTAGCCTATCGTATTTAGTTAACGATTACAGTAGCATATCGTATTTAGTTAACGATTACAGTAGCTTATCGTATTTATTTAACGATTACAGTAGCCTATCGTGTCCAAATCGTACTGCACTCGTGCTCACTTGGGATTTAGGGAGCCAAATAGCACTCTTTTCGGGGCGCCTGAAGATGCTCCTGATTAGATTTAGCGAGCGAATATAGCAATCCATTGTATCCAAAGCCTATCGCGCTGTTTAATTGCTTAAACGCAATCACTTGGGAGCCGGCGGCTACGTCTGCAGTATTTTTACCTCTGAATATAGTAGTATGGCTATGCAGGAAGCCCGATTAACGGATACCAAGTTCTACGATAGCCGCTCTGGAAAGCCGGGTGCCAAACCGTGACAAAATTCGCACCCTCCCGGGCGCCACGTATAAGAATTTTTTTCGTAGAAACATTCTTGGGAGTAATCTCATAGGCTCCCCAAAGTTTTATGGCATTCGGATAAACGGTGTTGAGCCGCATCCGACTTTTATTTTTTATATACCGTATATTGAGAAAAATAGCACCCTCCAGGGCGCCGCCCATGCGAATTTTTTTTTTCGGAAAATCTCACCAGGAGTGTTCTAGTAAACTACCCAAAGTTTCATGGCGATCGGATGAACGGTGTCAACTCTCAATCGACTTTTATTTTTATACACCGTATAATTGAAACTAATCGAATCGCGCCCTGCCGGGGCGCCACCCTGTGAATTTGAATTTTTTTTTCACAGAAAATTCTTCTAGAATATTCTCCACAACTTCCCAAAGTTTCATGGAGATCGGTAAAAAGTTGTAGTAATGCATAAAAGACAAACATACATTACTTTATATATATATAGATAATCGCGTGCCCACCCCGCGCGTTGCAGCGGGGATAGAATAAAGTTTAACGAAATATTTAAGATGGTTTCACCAATCTTATATTCTTAGACGTGTGATTTGTTTTCTAAAACTGAGATTTAAATATAAACATTGTCTAGGCTTTATTTATTGGATAATATTTGTTGTGGCATGGGTTTTAATTATATCCTAGCACTCCCCTAGGGCGCGGTGTATAAAAGCCTTGAGTTTACGTTAATCACTCTCTGTAGTACTAGTAGTGAGGTAGAGCACACTTCATCGACCGCTCCGATGTCAGGACATACAACGGCGCTCTTGTGAGCCCCAGGTTACCGCAGAATGCACCTTAAAACAAACGTAGGCGTCATACTGCTGAAAATATCTGTCCATACATTTTTTTAAAGGCCAACTGTTGTAAACCTGTTAGAGTTATAGTTATATTGCTGTTTTTCTAAATTAATGGAAGACAATACGATTATAATTATATTATTTTAGTATGTGTGATCAGCCCACTATACTTTTGCAGATCTGACAAAGTAAGCTAGCCTGATGTAATAATTAAATATACATACTGGTCATATTTTATAGGCTAAACAAGAGCAATCAGAAACACATTACAATTTTAGGGAGGGCTCACAATAAAGCTATGACAGTTACAGTTTAAACTGTAGAGCGTGGGCGTTGATGTTCGACTAAGGGACAAACGCAATATTTATGAGAGAAAAAAAAAAACTCATACTTTCGTATTTGTAAATTTAGAAAAAAAGCTTTTAAGAGAATCTGTAGGAAAATTAATTTTACTGTTGATAAGAGAACAATTTTGAGCCACTGAAATTGGGTATCTCCTGTTCAACTCCATAATCCGAAACTGTAAATGAGTTGTGGCCTTGCAACAAAGTTTTCTGTACTCTTGAGATAAACCTTGCCATATCCTTTGTAGCTCTCACCTGCCGTCTTGTTTCTGTTGTAATTCTCATTTATTCGGCAAATAAAGCAACAACCTACCTTTCACTTCAAATAACTAATATGCAAAATAGGTTACTTCCTGCTTTTTAAAAACGTTTGGATTAAAGCGTCATTTGTAAACTATTAGACAGATCACTCACACAATCATATGTTGAAGTAAAACATGATTTGTAGCCTGTTTTGTTAAGATTACGTTACACCTTATGCTCAACCCCAACCTGGAGGACCGGGGTACTAGCTTTTGTCTGACCCCTACCCCCGCAGACCTTCCCAACTTGGTTGAACCTGCCATAACCTCACAACAGAAACGCAGACAAAGAGAAATGCAGACAGCTCGGACCTGGAAAAGAATGCAGCTCCCGATGGAGCATTTATAAAGCCGGGTGGTGAAAGCCAATATGTCGACCAGGTCGACCATCAGTGTTGGATCTTGAAATGTCCGTACAATGTATGAAGCTGGAAAAGCAACCAAAGTAGCCGCAGAAATGAGACGCAATAAAATAGCTATCCTGGGTATCAGCGAGTCAAGGTGGACTGGCTCAGGACAAATAAGACTAATAACAAGAGAGCTACTGCTGTTCTAATGCACCACAAACTCGAGGAGTCGCACTCCTGCTGTCAAACCAAGCACAAAGAGCTCTCAGTGGATGGGAGGCACACTGCCCGCGGATCATGACATCCACCTATAAAACTAAAATAAGAAGAATAAACATTGGCATAATACCAGTGGCGGAACTAGAAAAAAAGGGCCACCCCGCAAAAAAAAAATGTTGGGCCCCATATATATATATATATATATATATATATATATATATATATATATATATATATATATATATTATATATATATATTATATATATATTATATATATATATATATATATATAAATATATATATATATATATATATATATATATATATATATATATATATATAAATATATATATATATATATATATATATATATATATATATATATATATATATATATATATATATATATATATATATATATAAATATATATAATTAGGACCCTATATACGAAAATACGAAATACGTAGGCTACATGGAGTACTCAATACGGGCTTGATCGAAATTCTTGTTTTTTATTTTTTATTAAAATATGTTAAAACAACACATAATTTGTGTGAGTGCTATCGGTCTGCTTTTAAATTCTCTGTTTTGATGTCTGACATAGTGCTTCCTAATATACAAGTCGGTCAAAAGAATATGAAGCATAAAAGCTTTGTATGTGTAATGGCTTCTCGCCTTATGTTTATTTATATTATTAGTTTTTTTTTTGTCATTTTTACTTTCTCGTATATACGAAGTATAGAGAAAGTATTGTAATCGTGCACAAAAATAACATGAAATTTTGACAGTTTTCACCGTTTTACCCCTCAGTCCTTCATCACATCCGGAGTATAGAGGACTTATTTTAATCGGGCAAAAATTATCAATCCAGATTTATCAAAATTAAGAGGTTTTATGCGTAATCCAGTCTGAAAAACTGGGCTTTGCAATTCTGTCCGTATTCTGTGTGTCTGTGTGTAAACACGATAACTTGAGTACCGTTACAGTTAGGTTGATGAAATTTCATATATAAGTATTTTATCAAAATCGTAGATCCGTATCAACTTTTGAGCGATTTCCGATAACCGGAAGTGGTACTTTTTCTACTTTGAATTTTTCAAAAGCCTATAACTTGAGTTCTATTTTAGATAGATAAATGAAATTTCACATGTAAGTATAAGATCTAATTCTCTACCTTCTGTTAAATTTTGAGTAATTTCCGTTGACCGGAAGTAGTAATTTACGCTACTTCTGATTTCTCAAAAAACTAATGTAAATTTTTAAACTACTAATAATATTGCGCACTATTATGCACTTTTTTATTTGGCGTTCAGTTGATGTGCAATTCTTTTGTCTTCGAGATTTTATTCTATTTTTAAAACTTTAAGTATTTAAAATGGATTAAAAATCATGTCTATAGCCCGAGTTCCCATCCCCTGTTATTTTATATAAGAATATTCGAGAAAGTTTAGGGGAGATCACTCCCGGTTTATTTATTATGTATTTCAAAAAAATAATAATTAAGAGAAGTAATTGCTTTTTAATTTGTTTAGTGCAAATCTATTAAAAATTTCTTAAGACCACACATATTTAACTATTATCTTTCACACTACAAGTCAGGTAGCCTATATATGTTTTTTTTTTCCTTTACGAAACAGCATGTGTTAGCTACTGTAGAACATCACTACTGTATTAGATCTGTTTTGTTTTTACTAGAAAATTATTTTTTTTACTATAAAAAATTGATTATGGTCAGCTGTGGGCTCCTAAACACCCCCCCCCCCCCCCCCACCGCATTGCGGGGTCTGGCGGTACTGTAGTTCCGCCCCTGCATAATACGGGCCTACGCCCCAACAAATGACAGCACAGAAGAGGACAAAGTTTAAATCTACAACATGCTAATGACCATTATCCAGAACCGCACAAGAAGAAACGTTATAATTATACTCATGGGTGATTTTAATGCTAAGATTGGAAGCGATATGAAGAATGTATCGGTTTTACAGGGTTTAGGTGAGATGAATAAAAATGATAAAGATTTGCTGCCTTGTGTGCCACAAGTAATTAAGTAATTGGAGGGAGTCTCTTTCACCACAAAAAAATACATAAGGCTACTTAGGCATTAGAGGAGTGGAAGGAGTCACTACTCATAAGGCTTCCGACCACAGGCAAAGTCTTGAACAGAATATTATTAAGGCAAAGTCTTGAACAGAATATTATTAAGGCAAAGTCTTGAACAGAATATTATTAAGGCAAAGTCTTGAACAGAATATTATTAAGGCAAAGTCTTGAACAGAATATTATTAAGGCAAAGTCTTGAACAGAATATTATTAAGGCAAAGTCTTGAACAGAATATTATTAAGCAGGAAGGAAGCGATAGACGCCTCAACAGGCGTGGATATAATTGCTACCTTTAAGCATCATCATTGAATTTCATAGTTTCGAGAAGGCCTTTGATAGCCTGGATAGACAGTCAATGTGGAAATTGTTGAGACACTATGGGTGCCACAGAAAATAGTCAACATTATTATGTCTTCACATGCAGATGGCAGGTTTGCCTACTTTCACCATTCCTGCTGGCCATTGAATGGATTTTGAAGATGCGAAACTGTATACAGCGGACACTATGGGAGACTCGGCCCTTCTTTCTCACACACAACAGCAAATGCAGGATAAAACCAATAGGGTTGCTAAATTTTCTACATGTCCGAGCCTGAACATCCATTGAGGGTAAAGTTCTCAAAGTACATGCACCAAGCAGCACCCTTTAACATTAGCAGAAGAAGCCCTAGAAGATGTGGATAGATTCACCTACATTGGAAGTATTGTTGATACTGCGCAAAGTTCTTCAGCCATCACCAACAAACAATTTTTCCTTGGACAAAAAGATCTCCGCGGGCCGGATGAGAAGACTTCGCGGGCCGTAGTTTGGAGACCCCTGGTTTAAACTAACAAATCTTAAGAGCCGGGAGTGTGTCATGGCCTCACCTGACCCCTCAGGTTTCGATTGAGCCCGGGGAGCCACTGTGTTCAACCTATTACACGTATTTGTGTCAGACAAACAAAAAAGTGACATTTTCAAATCTTTTTATTTGAATAAACAATAGACCTTCTATAACATTACGATTAGACTATATTGAGAGAATAACAAGTGAAAGAACACTATATACAGATAAATCGGTGTCATCCAAAATGAGGGAGAAAGTGAGGTACCAGTGTACACCAATACCTGAGGTAGGTCAAAATGAAAATCAAATTAGCATCTATAATGTTGATAGCACACTCAAAAAGACGTCAATAAATAAAGTATAGACAACAGCTGACCGTACAACATTACTGCAAGAAAAATTGTAAATAAACAAAGTAATATCAGGTTGTTAAGCAATGGAAACCCTCAAATCATTGATGTTAAAATATTCACAGGTTGATACATTACACTTCATCTCCTAGTAGCCATGTTTTAGAATGACCACTTCAAGTGGTGCATTGGCCACATGTAGAATGACCACTTCAAGTGGTGCACTGGCCACATGTAGAATGACCACTTCAAGTGGTGCATTGGCCACATGTAGAATGACCACTTCAAGTGGTGCATTGGCCACATGTAGAATGACCACTTCAAGTGGTGCACTGGCCACATGTAGAATGACCACTTCAAGTGGTGCACTGGCCACATGTAGAATGACCACTTCAAGTGGTGCATTGGCCACATGTAGAATGACCACTTCAAGTGGTGCACTGGCCACATGTAGAATGACCACTTCAAGTGGTGCACTGGCCACATGTAGAATGACCACTTCAATTGGTGCATTGGCCACATGTAGAATGACCACTTCAAGTGGTGCATTGGCCACATGTAGAATGACCACTTCAAGTGGTGCATTGGCCACATGTAGAATGACCACTTCAAGTGGTGCATTGGCCACATGTAGAATGACCACTTCAAGTGGTGCACTGGCCACATGTAGAATGACCACTTCAAGTGGTGCATTGGCCACTATGTGTAGCCATCACCACAACTTTGTGCAGGGGCCAACCACTATGTAAAATAAAATGATAATCTGTACAAGACAATTGAGTGCTACAGGTGCTCAAGGTTTTTGTGTTGAACTACCAGATACAATTGACTAAAGGGATTGGCCAGAGCCAGCTGCTCTGTGCTTGAGGAGTGTCTAAGGATGGTTAGTTGGACATCCTGCACATCTAATGTTAGCACTACAAACATCAACACTTGTAAGCCACAAGCCAGACAGTGGGGCCACACACAGGTTTTTGTCCTAGGGGGCTTGTTTCATTTTACCGTCATCTCTCTCAAAAATATATGTGATATAGCGTATATAAATATATTAATATAGCCTATATATATATATATATATATATATATATATATATATATATATATATATATATATATATATCACATACATGTCTCTATATATGTATTTATTGTGTCACCTACAGATTTTTGGGACAGTTTTGATTTTTAAGATCCCATAAAAAGGTAAGATCCCTACCCCACCAAATGCTACCTAAGGGGCCCTACCCCCATACCTACAGCACTATCATTAATTCACATTTTGATGAGAGTAAATTAAGTACAGCACTCATTAATAGTATCATCAATACTAAATATTAAGGGAAGCTTCATTAGGAGTGTTAGATGCAAAAGAAGACAAAATGTGGAGGTCTAGATACTAAAGAAGACAATATGTGGAGGTCTAGATACTAAAGAAGACAAAATGTGGAGGTCTAGATACAAAAGAAGACAAAATGTGGAGGTCTAGATACTAAAGAAGACAAAATGTGGAGGTCTAGATACTAAAGAAGACAAAATGTGGAGGTCTAGATACTAAAGAAGACAAAATGTTGAGGTCTTGATACTAAAGAAGACATGATGATAAAAAGCAATTCAAATGGATTCCAGTCTTGAGAAACAATGTAAAAGTACACTAATGACAAGCTAGGAGAGCTTTCAATAGACAAACTGCTCAAGCTATCAGAGGCTGTATGTCTAGGCAGTGAGCCCACTGTGGGTAGTTGCCTCACACAACTGATTCATTACATTTAATTCATATCAAATAGTCACAAGATTAAAATGTATACACATTGATTGAAATGACAGTTTAAGAAAGAAAGTCATGTCCAAAAACTGGAACACTTGAGTGATATAAAATGATCCACTGGTGGCCAGAGTTTCCCGCACATGTTAGAGATAGTCAAGCTGATTGGGCCAATCATCAACTAGCAGTCATATGCCAAAGCATGGGTGTTGAGTGCCTCATGTTAACCACAGCATCCCCAAAATGGCTGTTAGTGTCACCAGTCTGCTCGAGGTGACCAGACTACAGGAGCTGTTGGTGTAATCTGACTGCGCAGCTTCCAGACCTTCTGTGCCTGTTCCTGCAACAACAGCATTTGCTTTAACACAGTGGCCTCTGGTACACCCCTCATAGATTGATGCTACCCACCCCTCACAGATAGATGCTACCCACCCCTCATAGATAGATGCTACCCACCCCTCATAGATCAATGCCGCCCACCCCTCACATAGACAAACAAAAATTAACATACCTCTTCGCTTGTTTATTGACTCTGCTGAGAAAAAGAAATTTTGATTATAAATAACAGCCATATTTATTGCAGTATAATACTTACACCGCATGTACTTTTGCCACATGTATTCTAATTCTATACAACAAGGTCTTAAAAAATGAACCACTTGTGATCAATCTACAAGACAAAACATAAAATCTAGCTATGTTGAACTACATGTACGATAGATTATATGGCTGTATTGAAGTGTACCACATAAGAAAACGCTCTGGCACATTAGGGCTTACAGCTTGAATTAGCACACCATATTCAAGTATTAGCAAGCTATTGCTTACGCTTTCTCTTTTAAAATTTCTCTTATTTTAAAACCATTAAACTATCCTATGCAGATGAAAGGGACAGGTTACAAGTGACAAATGGTTATGTGGAAGATTAGGCAACAGAAAAAAACTTCGAAGGTCATATTTTACTGTATTTTCTTACTTGTCTCTTTTTTATAAATTGAAATCGGCCCACCCCACCTCTCTAAAGCCTTGGCCCACCGTACCCCTCTAAAGCCTCGGCCCACCCCACCCGTCTAAAACATCGGCTCACCCCTCTAAAGCCTCTTCACCTCAAATGACTCACTCTTCTTATACCCAAACTCCTGAGCCATCCATTGATGATATCCACATGATAGGGGTATGGGGGGGTATGGATGCTCATAGGGGTGAGGTTCATGTCAGTAGCGTATGCAGGGGGGGAGCAGGGGGAGCGGCCGCTCCCCCTCTGGCCATTTTCAGCAAAGTGGCGCCTTTTTGGAAACTTTTAAAACTCAAAGTTTTAAACAATGATATTTGTTAAAAAAAATATTTTTGGTCGGCACATCTATGTAAATCACAAGATTTCTTTTCATGCAGCAATTAAGCATTATTGTACTAGTCTATTAGTGTCTACGTTTACAACACGTATTAACAGCTGCATCAGTTTGCCATTCTAAAAATAACCATTACGATGCATTGCAATGTTTAAAAAACCTCTACGGGTAGTACCACTTGGCAAGAAGGTTGTTAAGTTTAAGGCAACTGTATAATGTATTTGCTTATGAATAACTGAATTAGAAAATGTTATACATAAAACTTCACAAATAATTACTTTATATATACAGTTTGAATCATGTGATTAATTTAAAAAAAAATTACAATACAGAAACAAATACAACTGATGTGGTACCTCTATTTAAATTTACTTATCAGCAAACTGCGTAGTAGTGGGGAAATTTTGACACGGTCAACAACTTCATCACGATGAAGTAGTAGTATTCTTACAGTTTGGGAGATAGTGATTACGATTACAAATTATATGAAACAGTTACAACCCCCTCCCCCATGGACCCTTCTGTAAAAAAAATATTGCCAAAATACCACTGCTACTTATTTAAATCTATTTGTGTAATATATATTTGTGTAATATATATTTGTGTAATATATATATATATATATATACATATATATATATATACATATATATAAATATACATATATATATATATACATATATATATATATACATATATATATATATACATATATATATATATATACATATATATATACATATATACATATATACATATATACATATATACATATATACATATATACATATAATACATATA